TCGGCCAATGATATCCTACAAACAATGTTGATATTTGAAGGATATGGAAACAATATAATATAGGCTATGCAATATATTATGTGCAAAAGCTTTTGTTTTATATTGACTAGAAGCTAAACTAAAAAATGAAAATAAAAACAAACAAAAGCACAAACTAATTATATTAGCCTGCATTTGATTACCCCATTATAATCACTTTCACTTTCATTAAAATATATACTTGTAGGTTTAAAATTCCACATATGGCACATTTATTTTCTCCAACAACAAATATTTTAGCAATATGTTTATTTTAGTCAGAATTATTGCGTACTACGTAGTACTATTCACGGCCGATGCGCGCGGCGCTCGTTCAAGTAAGCATGAATTTTAGCGGAGATTCACTTGCAGAAGCTCGTCCTCTTCTGACATGGACATATTGTTGTGAAATGGACATATTTGCTTTACTTTCTAACATTTACAGATGGAGAATATGTGAAATGTAAGTTGAGCACTGAGGAAAGCACCACTCAAACGCATTAAACAGCGCAAGTATATCTGTCAGTCAGCAACAGTGTCTGTCAGAGCATTTGACAGGGCGGCAAGCTGCCTTAAACTTGTTAACTATATCAAAGTGATTTTGACGCAATTAATATAAGCTTGTGTCATGTTTAGGACAAATTGTACTACGTAGCCTAGCTACTTTCACTGCAGCAGCTCACACTGCAACCTCTGCTATTTTTCAGATGTGCTCATAAACGACTGTATCGATATAAACGGTATTGCCTCATTCCATATCGTTTAAAAAAATATAACGATACATCGTACATATTCGATATATCGCCCAGCCCTACGTCATACCCGAGTGTTTTGTACCAGACTGCACACACACGAGCAGCGGATCTCGTTTCGCTTCTGGGAGATGTAGTTCACAGAGCGATTTTCACATAAAACTAAAAGTTACTCTTCTGTTTTATGACAAACTGCGACGTTTTTGACGTTCAGAATTATCTTTTAAATTGACAAACATCATGTGTGTAATTGAGGGCACAGTTCAGACGGAATAACAAGATAAGTTGTCTCTCGCCATTGACTACCATTCATATTTTTTCCGAAATAAGGTCCCATGAGCCGGAAGCGGAGGGGCGGGACTTAGGCTCTCTATTACTGCCCATATAAGGGCGCCTCCATTTCCATATGTGTTTAGAGTGATATGAACCATTATTTACACAATTTATGAAGTAGACATCGTATTTAGAAGTAATATGAGAAGTTTGGCAGATTTTGAACTCTAAGAAACACATAAAAATAACAAGTATGTGCATTATAGCTTCCTGCCACATCACAAATGGTGAATCTATACATTTTTTCTTCATATTTAAAAAAATTTCAGACTTTTTTTTCTAAAATAATTGAGCAGATGCTATATTTTGAACTCTTGGTATGAAAACAAACTGAGGTTTCTATCGTTCTTTCATGATTTTTCATGTTCATCACTATTTCAAAATAAAAGTCTGAACACGCCATTGGAGTATGAAAATATTCTTGTTGCACATTGATAAATTACGGCTCCTCTGTAATTTAAGAGGAATGTTAATATGCTATATTTGATAATTTGAGCTTATACTGTAGCTACACTTCCAATAACTTCACTGACACTTTTATGGCCCACTCATCATGCAATGCAAATACTCGGCGTGTCAATATTGCGCCGGCCAAGAACCGCCCACTCACACAAAAGGGAACTTTATGATTGACATGTGAAGTGACCAATAGCAGTGTGTTTTGGTTTATGCGCTGTTTAAGGTTATACAGAACTTCTGATGGCCTAAAAGTCACCAAAAGACAAATGTTTTACCGAGTATTTGCTTGTGAATATAAGTTTAACGGGTGCCTTGAGAAATGAGAATATAGTAAATACTATATACATCAGCTCAACTAATAGATATCAGCATACTTCATCAGCGGATTAATCACAGTACTTTAAAAACATTTTTTTGTATCACATATGCTTAAATACTCAAAGGAGTCATTATCTAATTAAATATGCATTCATTTGCATATATTATTTAGTTCAGCTTTATTTTGTTGACATACTGTATCAGAGTTAAAGGTTTTTGGATATTTCTTTATCACTCCATAAATCAAACAATACTGTTTGATTTATGAAAATATAACCCGAGTAAAAGGACAGCCAAATTATCATATATATATATTTTTTTTTTCTTTTTTTACCATGTTTTTAGGAATAAAATGTCATAGACCAGGCAGATGATACATGAACAAACCTCTAAGTAAAAACCTTATAGGAATAAACATGTAAAGTTTGGAGTATGTAAGAGATACTGAAGAAACAGCCTTTAAATACATGTATTATAATTGAAATCTACAGACGGTTAAGTGTAGATAAAGTGAATTAAATTAAACGAATGTGTATTTTAGATGTGTTCTTACCACTATTCTGAAAGTAGACATGTTATGAAAGCAAAATGAAAATGCCTGTAGTGTCTCGCCTTAATATCTTAATAGCGCTCGCAGTTTAACCGTTTCCGCTCAAAAGTTCAATCAGTAAATCCAGAGATAGATGTCGAGTTTTGTTCAAACAGTATACGGTCTGTGGGTGTGCCCAGGCTAATATAAACCCAGATAAAATATTTGAACAGCTCACTGGTCGAGTAAAAGGAGCGTCAGGTACTGGCTCTACAACAATAGTACTGTTATGAGTGTTTCCAGGACGTGTGACGTTACCGTAGGCATCCCGTGGCGTTGTAGAAGGCCTCTGGAGCCAGGCTTGTGTTGGCATTGTCGTCTAAGCTGGCTGTAAACGGCACGATGACCTTCTCCGTGAGCGCGGGCAGAGCCGTACGGAGCAGATCGGGCTTCAGGTTATCAGCGGAGGAGAGATTCCACAGGAGACCTGGACAACACACACAGATCAGTGTGATGACAACACAATACCATCTGATTTATACAGCACAAGTCATACAATGGCAATTCAAAGGGCTTTATATGATAAAAAAAAAAAAATCCCAGGAGATGCATGAGAAACAAAAAAATAACAATAAATGCTAGGGCTGTCAATCGCATCCAAAAAAAAAATGTTTGTGTTTACATAATATGCACTGTGTATAATTATTTTGTATAAATATATGAAGAGTTCAGATGCAAAAGCCTCTAAGTGCCATTTAAAATTTTCTTCTAGAATGATCATTTTTATCAAGCTTGTATATTTAAGTTCAGTGATTTCACTTAAATGGCAATGATAATTACCTATTAATTGTTATTTAAGTGAAATTACTGAACTTAAATATACAAGTTTGATAAAAATCATCATTAAAGAAGAAAATTTCAAATGGCATTTAGAGGTTTTTGCATCTGAACTCTTCATATATATATATATATATAAATTCTCACATATGCATGTAAATCTAAGAAAAAAAATATTATTTAAATATAAAATATTTATATATAATACAACTTATATATAAATCTGTTTGCAGTATATACATGAAAATATTTCTTAAATAAATACAAGCATGCGTGTGTATTTATACATATAAAATAATTATACACAGTGCACCCACATATATTATGTAAACAAAAACTTTTATTTTGGATGCGATTAATCGTGATTATTCGTTTGACAGCCCTAATAAAAGCAAATATTAATAAAAAAAGATTAATTCACTTTACTCTGTGCTTTAGTAGGTGATCGAGTTCATTTCTGCATTTACTAATGCATTTTTAGTAGGTCTGAGTACCGATTAATCGCATCCAAAATAAAAGTTTGTGTTTACATAATATATGTGTACTGTGTATATTTATTTTTTATATAAAAATTCACACACATGCATGTATATATTTAAGAAAAGCTTGTCATTAATATATAAAATATTAATATTGATATTCAATATAAATCATGTAAAAATATATATCAAAAATTTCTTGAAAATATATACATGCATGTGTGTGTATTTATATATACAAAATAATTATACACACACATATATTACGTGAACACAAACTTTTATTTTGAATGCGATTAATCGGTGCCCAGCCCTAATTTTTAGCTTTTCAAATTGTAGAAGCTGAACAAACATTAATTAACAATAAACAACCCTATATTCACGAATTAACCAAGATTGTTTAACGCTCACCAAGGCTGTATTTATTTGATCCAAAAATTGAGTTTTCTATCATAATATATTATAAAATATATTATTATATTTAAAATGTATTTAATAATAATATTTAATTATTTAATATTTAATAATAATTATAATATTTTAATAATAATATTTAAAATATAAAATGTATGTATTTCAAAGCTGAATTTTCAGCAGGATATCATTAAATTAAAAATTAAATCTATAATCATTTTAATATTTTAAGTAGAGCGCGAACATAATCTTGTCTACTATTCTGTCAAGTGCTTTAAATGGCTATGTTGACATATTCTATGTGTGTGGCTTGAGTGTGTGTGTGTGTGTGAGTGTACAGGTTTGGCTGTACATTCGAGGGCCAAAAAAATCCAAGTGAAATATTATGATAAACTTTTTACTGGTCCTCACTAATATAGTGAAACAAACGTGTGTGTGTGTGTGTGTGTGTGTGTGTGTGCCCATGTTTATATTACATTGTGAGGACCAAATGTCCCCACAAGAATAGTAAAACGTCAAATCACCCACATTGTGAGGATTAGCCGGCCCCCGCGAGGGAAATTGATTCGTGAACATACCAAATGATGTTTTTTAGAAAATGTAAAAGAGCAGAATGTTCCCTGTGACGGGTCGGGTTAGTGTAAGAGGATAGATTATACAGTTTGTACAGTATAAAAATCATGGAGTCTCCATAAAGACATGAACATGACGTGAGTCACCTGTCAGGTGTTTCTGTGTCTCAGAGTTGGTATCGCTGATCATCTGCACAGCCTGAGGGATTCCTCCACAGCGCTGCACTTCTTCTTTATTGGCCTGGTTTTTGAAGACGGCGTTTCTCAGGGCAGCGGCCACCGTCTCCTGGATCTGAGGACTGGGGCTGCTCAACAGGTTGACCAGCGGAGGAATGCCCTTCAGGGTCAGCACCTGGACACCATAAACCACTGTGATCAGACCACACTACAGTGATGCTAGCACATGCACACAACTAAAACTAGAACAATTCAAAACATTACTTTCGGTCCTTCAAATAAAACAAACTAAATAAAAGCTAATTCAAAATATGAATAAATACTACAATAGTATATAAATTTGATGTAAAAAATGTATGCTTTTTAGTATTTCAAAGAATACCATGGTACCCGTCCACATAAGTTTACCATGGTATTACTATCATAAAATTATGGCAACGCCATCAGACAATAATACGATACAAATATTTATAATATTAAATACTACGGTATTGACATGGTACAACCATTATGCTGTATCCATTCAAAATACTACAGTACTGACAGTGGTACTCTAATATTTTGTAAAGAAATACAATGTTAAAAGCATGGTAAATGTCCAAAAATATAAAGCTCGTCTAAAAAACATGGTAATTATTTGGTGTTTACCTGGCCCATTTTTGTCAATTCACAGATATTTTTCCAAATTTATTATCATAAAAAATACTATGAAAACATGTATGGTATTTAAAGGAGTAGTGCACTTTTTAAAAAAAACTTTTGCTGATAATTTACTCGCCCCCATGTCATCCAAGATGTCCATGTCTTTCTTTCTGCAGTCGAAAAGAAATTAAGGTTTTTGATGATTTTTCTCCATATAATGGACTTCAATGGGGTCCAAACGGTTCAAGGTCCAAATGAGAGTTTCAGTGCAGCTTTAAAGTGCTTTAAACGACACCAGACGATGAATAAGGGTCTTATCAAGCAAAACGAGCGGCCATTTAATAAATAAATACAAAAGTTTAAGGTTTATAAGGTCAAATGCTCGCCTTGCTCTGCTCTGTGATGCGCGTTCGTAACTCTCCTATTTGAACTCGTTCGTTAAAATGAATAATCTTTTTGAGTCATTTGGTGAAAAAAAAAAGAACGAAACAACTCAAAAATAGATTTGTTCATTTTGAGCGAGCATTTGTGCTTATAAACTCTCATTTGGACCTTGAATCGTTTGGACCCCATTGAAGTCCATTATATGGAGAAAATCCTGGAATGTTTTCATCAAAAACCTTAATTTCTTTTCGACCGAAGAAAGAAAGACATGGACATCTTGGATGACATGGGGGCGAGTAAATTATCAGCAAAAGTTTTTTTAAAAGTGAACCTTTAAATCAAGGTACTCCAACATATAGTGTAATACCATGTTAACTATCCTAAAAACATATTATTTCTATTGTATGCATTAAAAAACCCATGATAAAGCATGGTGGTGTGTGTTGGAGACCTCTTGCTTGGCCTTGTCGTCGGTGAAGGTGCTGTGCTGGATGTAAGCCGCTCCACACTGCTGGTAGTTCTCATCCGGACTGAACAGAAAGTCAACCGCCTCTTGCATCGTCAAATCGGCCATAAGCTTCTCCGCATTCATCCTGCCGACACACGAGTGAGTGTGAGACCTGGCCTACAGTAAATCACCACATCATGACCACAACACTACAAACTCACCCAGAAATATCCTTGACTTGTCCATTCCTGATCATAGAGGTCCTGGACTCCGCGTTGGACTGCAGGGAAGACGGGCGTCTGCTGACGGCCTGGAAGGAGCCGACCTGATTGCTGTTGGTCATTCTGCCGAAAGTGCCGTTCCCGAAAGCCTGGTTAGGCTGACTGAAGGCCTTCTCCATCCGGAAGGTCTGTTTGGCGGTTTGGCTGCGTTGAGTGGCTCCGACTCCTCCACCGTTCACTGCGGGCTGGAAGCCCAGGTCCGGGGCGCTGCGAGTGGCTTTATAGCTGTACAGCTGGTTACTGGACCGTGCCTGGACCGGGAGGGTGCCAGAATTGGAGAACAAGGGCCGATCCCCCCTGCTGGCGTTACTGGTCACCCGTTGAGCGCTGGCGCTGCGGGAGTTGGTGGACTTGCGCACAAAGGTTTGCCTTTGCATATTCTGGACATGGAAACAATGATTTTAAAGTCAAGGTGATATCGTCATTTCTCATTAAGCAATTGCATGCAATAAAAATTTAAATGCAAAAAGAAATAATGCAACACAAAAAACAACAACATGGTAACGTTTTACATTTTAATATTTCATTAAATGCAAAAAAGAGCATTTTAACTAGTGCTATCAACCTGTATAAGTATACTTTGTTTTAAAGTCAATTATGATAATATCTTATTTTTAAATTGAAATGCAAAAAGTGAATGCAAAGAAATTACATGCAAAAATGCACAAATCACATGCAAAAAAAATTTAAATTTGAATTAAATGCCAAATAGAGCATTTTAACTGGTGCTATCAAACTTTATAAGTATACTTTATGTTTTAAAGTCAATTATGATATTTTATTTTTAAATTGAAATGCAAAAAGTGAATGCACAAAAAAGCACAAATGACATGCAAAAAAAAAAATAAATAAAATAAAATAAAATTTAATTAAATGCAAAATAGAGCATTTTAACTGGTGCTATCAAACTTTATAAGTATACTTTATGTTTTAATGTCAATTATGATAATATTTTATTTTTAAATTGAAATGCAAAAAAATGAATGCAAAGAAATTACATGCAAAAATGCACAAATTACATGCAAAAAAAATTTTAAAATTTTAATTAAATGCAAAATAGAGCATTTTAACTGGTGCTATCAAACTTTATAAGTATACTTTATGTTTTAAAGTCAATTATGATAATATTTTATTTTTAAATTGAAATGCAAAAAATGAATGCAAAGAAATGACATGCAAAAATGCACAAATTACATGCAAAAAATGCAAAATAGAGCATTTTAACTGGTGCTATCAAACTGTATAATTATATTTTATGCTTTAAGTTAATTCTGATATTATTTATAATTAGAAATTGAAATGCAAACAAATGAATGCAAAGAAATTACATGCAAAAATGCACAAATTACATGCAAAAAAAGCAACAAAAATTTTATTTAAATGCAAAATAGAGCATTTTAACTGATGCTATCAAACTGTATAAGTATACTTTGTTTTAAAGTCAATTATGATAATATTTTATTTTTAAATTGAAATGCAAAAAAATGAATGCAAAGAAATTGCATGCAAAAATGCACAAATGACATGCAAAAAATACATTTAAATATTTAATTAAATGCAAAATAGAGCATTTTAACTTATCAAACTGTACAGGTATACTTTATGTTTTTAAGTCAATTCTGATTTTATTTATAATTAAACATTGAAATGCAAACAAATGAATTCAAAGAAAAAAAAAATGCACATTTTAATTTATGCCTAAATGCAAAATAAAGCCTTTAACCAGTGTGATCAGACTGCATGCTAAAAAGTATCCTTCAGTACTAATTTTATAAGTATACACTAAAAACGATTCTGAAATCAGCATTTTAAAGGAAAAATTCTGTCATCATTTACTCGGAAGAACCTGTATGAGTTTCTCTCTTCTGCTGAACACAAAATACAATATTCTGAAGAATATCCATTAAAATAATCCTATAGAAATGAACAGAGACCATCAACTGTTTGGTTACCGCATTATTCAAAGCATCTTCTTTTGTGTTCATACAGGAATTCAAACAGGTTTAGTTCAGTGATTTTTTGATTTTTGAGTGAACTATGAATCCTGAAAGTGCGTCCATGGATTAAAATGAATCAACAGTGTTGGGTTTACGAGATAATTACTGATTATGGGAGAGTATGTTCGTGCGTAATTACATCTTTTGCCACTGTCACATTTGGCTAGCTTATATTTCACATAATATTCAGCAATATCATTGATTTGACCGTATCAGATGAGAAGTGAACTGAGCTAGATGATGACATCACTGATGAATGCTGAACAATGACCCCGTTGTCTTCTGAGAGCTCTGTTTGCATCCGTCATCACTACTCTCCTGCTTGTTACAGTAAAGCTGCTTTGAAACACTTTAAAGCACTATAAATAAAGGTGATAACTTTTGCAGGATGTCAAAACAGGGTTTTACGCAAATAAAAACAACATAAAAAATTAGGCTGGAACACAACACGGCTGGATTAGACGCTCCACTAAAGCCAAACAAGACTCCCATGGATACACCCAACATGTAAAGAAAAATTGGCAGAATACCTAGAAACCAGGCTGTTTGGTAACACAACACTGATGAGTCAGAAAAGGGAAGGAGAGGAGTGGTTTCATTTAGCTTTTTCCCATGATTCTTGCTTTTTCTGCCATAACTAACTAGAAAACAGTGAACTAGACAAGTGTCGACATAGCAATGAATGTATTAGACTCAACAGACACACTGATGGATTGTTTTTTCCGTCCTCATGTCCAAAACTGTAGGAGGAGTTCGTTAAAGTACGAGGCCTGAAAATGGCAAAAACGGCACAAAAATCGGAGAGGAAGATCAAAATGGCTGACTTCCTATTGTGTTTAGGGATACGCTCCAAGAGACTTTTATGTAGGTATTGGGTCATTACATGCATGTACCGAATTTCGTACACGTACGTGAAACGTAGCGGGAGGCGCACTCCGTTGAACCTTTATAGGTGGCGCTATCGAGTCATTTTGCCCCGCCCAATTCTGAAACGCATATCAGATCTAAATTTTCACCAGTTTTGACGTGTGTGCAGTTTTCGGCCCTCAAAAATGCGATCGATTTTGGAGAATAAATAATAATAAACAGAGCACACCATCGGCGCTCAGGCGCCTAAATATTACGGCTGTCAAACGATTAATCACGATTAATCGCATCCAAAATAAAAAGTTTGTGTTTGCATAATATATGTGGGTGCACTGTGGATAATTATTTTATATATATAAATACACACACATGCATGTATATTTAAGAAAAAAATATGAGTTATATATAAAATATTTATATAAGTATATATAAATCTGTTTGCAGTATATACATGAAAATATTTCTTAAATATGTACAAGCATGTGTGTGTATTTATATATATACTTATATAAATATTTTATATATAAATCATATTTTTTTCTTAAATATACATGCATGTGTGTGTATTTATATAATTGCACCCACATATATTATGTAAACACAAACTTTTATTTTGGATGCGATTAATCGTTCGACAGCCGTACTGCGTTATTAGTTACAAGCTAAAGCTCGTTTGGCATTCCACAGATATCTATTGTAATCTGGAATCGATGACTAAAAAGAGAAGCGCTCAGCCAATGAATAAAGAAATGTGTTTTACACACCCCAACCGTGGGAAATCACAACGATTTATACACACCCGAAGTTCCTCATTAGCAAAATACAAATAAGCGAACGTGTGAAGAATGAAATGACTGATGATTTACCCCATTGGTCATGGTTCCTCCTCTGCTGAACGAGGCTCCGGGAGAAAACTTGAAGTCGTAAAACACACTGTCAGTTTCAGGACCTGCAATCGAAGAAACTGTTTTAGGGCGTTATAATTCTTATCCAAAATAAATCATGCATTGAGGGACGTTTTGAATATTTGCAGTATCATTTAAAAAAATGTTAAATACCCATCTCTTTAAGAAGATTTATAATTATAAGACATTTATAATTTTGCTTTTAATCTTTAAAACATTTCAGTTCTACATTGCCAAAGTTACCCTCCTGACACTCTGTTAAAGTGCTTTCTTCTGGCATTCTTAGCTTTTTACTGATTTATTTCTAACATGTATTAGCCTACTATGAATTTACATGTATTTTAATGTTTTTTTTTTTTTTTTTAAGTCCTTCAAAACATGTAAGATGTCCTTGGGTATTTAGAAAGGCATTGGCCAAATAAAATGTATTATTATTATTATTATTATTAACCTATAACTAATGTATTATGGGGATTTTACAGAGCGTTCATTTCAATTAATTTTTTTCTTTTCAAGAACTTATTTAATACGCCTGAATGAAACAAATGGGATTACAATTAAAGCGATTTTTTTTTTTTTAAAGAAGAAAGAAAATCATGCACATTTTCAGTTGCACGATATAGGATTGTCTATCGAACATATAAATAGAGTTTATAATAGAAATCAATAGACAATTTGATTCAGTTGGTGTAATGTTCTCCTTGAAATATTACTTTAGAAGTTTTGGTAATGGAAATATTACTATGGTACCCCATCTAAAACAAAAAATCCATGTCACTTTTTTGTGACCGTTCCTGTAAAAAGTGCATTTAAGTTCAGAAAAAAAAAAGTATGACGTGAAAAAATATGCTAATACCATGTTATCAAGCCTTTTTGCCCCAAGGAAGGTGCCTTAAATGTCTTATTGAGCAAGGGCCTCAGATATACACTAAATGTAAATCCACATACGGTATAAATGGGTCTTTATAGATGAACATACAGTATAAACATTTTCTACAGAGAACAAAAATGCCAATCAAGTTGAACAAGTTGATCTGAGCAACTCCACATAATATCATTTCACTTTCACTGCACCAGCACTGCAGGCAGAACAAAAGGTGGGTTGCACTTTATTTTACAGTATGTGCACTTAACAATGAGAAAGTACTGGTTAATATAAGGAAACTACGGATAGCTTTTTTTAAATAATATTGGAAGCCGTCAGTTTCTGGTCCCCGTTGACATCCATTGTATTTTTCCTAAAATGGAAGTCGATGGAAATCGTCAAAATATCTTATTTTGAGTTCGACAGAAGAAAGAAACTATAAAATATGTGCATGGGGAACAAGACTGTAAAATAAAACGCAACCAAAATGTGTCTTTTGTTCTAATAGCATGGAGGTTTTTAGACTCTTTAACAACCAAACTATCAATTTAAACTAAAAAAACACCTCCTAGTTTGACTAGGAGGAATGCAACCCGTCTGGTATTAAATGCAATGCCGAGATGAACTCACTGGTGGGTGAGGGGAGGCCGGACACACTCTTGCTGCTGTATTTGGACTTGCTCCTCTTGATAGTGTGCACCTGGTCCAGGACTCTCTGTTGCGCGGATCTCGCGGATTGATCGGACGGGAGCGCGAGCGACGTGTCCTCCACAGTTCCTATCGAAAGAGCCGATTTTAAAGGTTCGGGCATCATTTTTGCTTTTGCCTCTCCTCCAGAGACAGGTGAGGTCCGATTCGTAAAGCTCCAACTATCTGCTCCGTCTGGCTGTTGTGCGTTTGGTTCAGGGTTTGACTCACAGAGAGATTGAACTAGACCTGCCCTAATTCACGCCCATGTGACGCCCAAATGCCCATTCAACACCTTTTTCTGCTCCTCTCACTGATGATGAGTCTAAGAAAGCCCTTTAATGATAAAACAAACTGTCACTTTTAATAAGGATAATAGATGTGCTTTAAAAGCGTTTGATTTTGTTGTGTAGGGCGTTGTAAGGCACGGCGTATTTATTCACAAAACATAGTTTTAATTGCTTTTCTACTTGTTTATGCTTTGATACAGTATTTTAAAGTACATAAAAATATCAGACGAGACGATTTCAAACTTAAATAATTTTTTTAAAAATACGCAAATGGTCAGTGACACACTTCCGCTAGAAAATATAGTCCCTTCGTAAACAATAATAGAACGACCACATTGTATTTATAGCATCCAAAACTATTTCTATAAAAATAATAAAGTCAGATAATAAATTTGTTATATTAAATAAATTGGTAACACTTTACATTAAAGTCTCATTTGTTTACATGAGTTAATGTAGCCTATTAGCTAACATGAACTAGCAATACATTTGTTGCAGTATTTATTATACAAATCCAGCTTTTTATTATTCATGTTAGTTCATAGCCTACACTAATGATAACAAATACAATAATAACGTATTGGTAAATGTTGAAAATAACATTGACTAAGAAGATTAATAAAGAAGTAAACTTATGTTAAATAATGAAACCTTACACATATTATTTGATATATTTGCTACACAGGCTAAATCAAAGGAATTACATTCATTTATATGCATTGTGAAGTAAATATGACCGTAAAAAAAGCATGTTGCGCCTACAATTAGCTTACTATACCATTCTAAAAATTAAGTTGATATAATTTCTCACATTTTTCTCTATACTGAATTCTATACCATCTGTGACAGACAGTTCATAGTTTAAAAGACCTGCTTTTGGTCAAAACTTGGTCAAAATGTTACTGTGTTTTTTCCCCAATGAATGTGCCTTGAATGTTTTACTGTGCAATCCCAAACCTTAAATATATACTATTGAATATATATGAAAATATAGATCCAAATGTGTTTTCGCTCCGATCTATTTATTTGAGACACTATTTTCCAAAATGAACAAAAGACTGCAGCCATGAGAGCTCAAGCTGAGAACCTCCATGACTAAGAGTGAAGACTCATTATTTGGGCCATCAGCCTGCATTAGTAACCGCACATGTGCAGACAGCAGTCGGACACACCCAGACGAGTGTACGGGCGGGTCTCGTCTCAATGCGTCACCTGCACATGACAGCGTATACTTTCAGACAATCAATGTTTGTCCTAAGTGACAGAGACGAGGAGAGCTCACTTTTCTATTCTTGTACTTAAGTGAGAATAAATAACCATAATAAACACCAATTAAAAACTTCATTTTGCTGTGATTATTTAAGTTATTGCGTAATATTTTATGCAAACTCTGAGAAAGGCCAAACTTCATCCTCAAACAAAAGTTCAAATATCCACTAAATGCAGTAACTGACAATATACTGGATATTTGGGTAATAATAATTAATAGCTACCATGAGACTTTTTCTAAACTCACCAAAGATTCGTATGTTTCTTCTAAGCAACACTGCACCCTTGTGGCAAGTATCACATTAAAATAAACATAAAACATCACCTTGCTGAATTTTCTTTTTTATTTAAAAGGTAGACTTGTGTAACAAAACAGTTATATTAGAGATAAATGAGGTTGTTGCCAGGTTAAACAAAAGGAAAATAACTTTATGGATTGACAAAACAATTTAAATGATAGGCTATGATTTATCTTTCTCCACTTGGTTGTTTCTGGTATCGCGAAATGGCCGTATCATGAACATAACTGTTCACATTCACAATAAAAGCACACTTCAAAAGTGGATGATTGGAAACATTTAACATACAAAGGAGAGGAACGCCTGCTCAGCAGGGGCTCGTTCTTCGTACGTTGCTTAAAACATCCGAGATCAAATGAGACATCTAAGATGATATCATCGTGCTAATCATGATCCGGCTAATTGGGTTCTTCGAACACACCTGTTGTTTATGATTAGTATCGCTGGATTGAGTTATCTGAGATAACTGCGCGTTCTCGCGTTGGTTTAAAAGGGGACATGTATCGATAGCAGAACCAGTGATCAGCAGCGCTGCTATTGGCTGTTCAGCATGGCCAAAGAACACGCCCAGTTTTTCTCCCAAGCAGAGCAAGCGCTTTTAATGCAAGGTTATGCCGAATTTCAGTCTTTAATTAAAACGCCAGGGAACACCTCAAAGTGTGCAAAAGGCAGTAGAGAGTGCTGGCAAAAGTAGAAGACAAATTAAATGCGTTTGTGGTGGCCATAGATGTTTTAATAACTTATTATTATTTTATTTTTATTTTTATTTTCATAATTTCATAATTACTTTGTTCATTGTAATGTCGAGTCACCACACTATAATAATAAACATGGTGAAAGTGAAGTACAAAAATATTCTACTTAATGGTAATTTTAGGCCTTATAGGCCTACTAGTCTCTTTTAAAAAGGCACTGTTAAATAAATGATTGTCTGTTTATAAAAGCAAACAGGAAAAATGCTGAGAAAAAAATAATAATGATGCTCCTGACCCTGGCAGAAGAGCTGACCCTTGGGTTGAATGTGAATTGCCCTGTGAAGGGCATCCCTGGGTTCAGCTCTTCCAGACCCACATCAGGGACCAGTAGCAGCAACACCTACATCACTGGGAAATGAGATTTAAATTATCTTTGTACACTGTGAAATAATTTGTTGCTGCATTAAATGATGTAGACCTATAATCCAAATTGGCTGGTTTAGTCATTTCAACTGTTAAATCTTGAGTATAATGATAAATTGCTTTGTCTTGTGAAAGTAAAAACTGATAAACTTATGTTAATGTAAAAAATATTTTGCCATGAGTTATCAATCACATTGCACTGGAGAGTGAAGAAAACTTCTCAAATGACTGTCCTTTGGAGGAAGTACTTGGCTTTAATTGATTTATACTTGTGCCTATGCCTATTATTTCTGACAGGAGTCCACATGTACAGAAAGGCCTACAGAAGAGTCTGCACACAGCAGTGATACAGGGGTGGGCAGTGTAGACAACTTTTGCTTGTTATTTGTTGCATTTGTTCCCTATATGAGTCTTCAACAGAGTATTTTGAAAAAAACTAAAATCAGGGGGAGAAACAGAACTTGACTAAGAAAAAATTGCACTAGAAATAGAGTTGCTTCAAAATAAACTTCAGAGTAAAATCACACAGAGTACTATTACTGACCTTAATATCTTTTAAAAAGATGACTGAATAACTGGCTTTTCTTTACAAAGAACTATTGAAATAAAACTCTAAGCAAACAGAGTTTTGCAAATTTGTCTTGTCTTTTATTTTAGGCTTAATTAAACATTTTTTTTTTTTCTTTTTCTGATGTTGGCAGTGTTGTGTAATATGGCACATGCAATGTCACAGGCCCTGTCAGGTGCAACCCTCAGGGTTTTTAGACATTGAAATCTTCCCTTTAGTTGGCCAAAGCTCATGTCATTGTGTGCCCTTGTCCTAGAGCTGCATTGTAACTGGTCTGGGGTTTGGGTCAGGGAATGGGGTCATAAAACACCTGTCTCCATGCAGGATCCTGTTGTAATCACCTGTATAATGGAAAAATGCAGTTCTCAGCATAAGTGTATGTAATACCGTGAGTTTGATATTTATAATTTTCCTTACCATGTTCAAATAATGTTCATAAATGTGAATCTCTTAAAATTCTTGAGTCATGCACAGATCCTGGCCATTTAGCTTTCACACTGATTTGTGATATAGAACATGGTCACACACCATCTAAAAGATTTTACTCAGTCAAATGCCTTTTAAAAAAAGTGATATAATATTCCAAATCTGGAATATTAAAAATTGTAATAGTAATTTGGCTGCACTGTATAAGCCCCCTTTCTGCTCACAAAATCCCTTTATTGAGGCCTTGATGGGAACATGTGTGTAGTCTACAGTGTATGGCACCAATCACGTAAGTTAAGCCTGAGGGACTGTAAGTCATAATCGGCATGGTCATCATGATTGCATTATCTTCATTAAAAATTATAATATACCCTAAGTTGGCAAAAAAAAAAAAAAAAAAAAAAAAAAACTAAGAGCACTGCTTTGTGAATGGCACGACAGAAAGCTTATCAAGTTCTCCACATCTCCAATAGTGTAAAGGAAGCCACTCGCAAATAATTTTAGGGCAATGCAAACATTTTGTGCTGTTGTTGAAGCCCGATATCGAATCGACCATTAATGTGCATTTCCAACAAAATAATAATGTATTTAAACGACACCCTCACGACGATCGTTTCACGAGAAAACAAAAATAAATCTCAGAAATTAAGCTACACTATCGCGCTGCGCTGAAGGACTTCCCGTATCAGCCGCGATCTAATCCTGTTTACATGAAATAAGCCTGCTCGCGAGCAGGTTCAAGCTGACGGACCTGTTGCTATGACAGCAAGTCCAGGATGAGCGTCGAAGAACCAAACGATCCAAGATCATGGCAAATCGCCAACAATCAAATCCAGCTAACTGAGTTAGCGACGTACGAAGAACGAGCCCCAGGTCTCCATTTAAAAAAAGTCAACAAAGGAATATTTAATTAGTGGTAAATTATTCTAAAGCAGTGGTTTTAAATCTATATGTATCCATAAATACATACATACATATGATTTCAGAAGTTTCAAGAACTATATGAAGAGTTCAGATGCAAAAGCCTCTAAATGCCATTTGAAATTTTCTTCTAGAATGATGATTTTTATCAAACTTGTATATTTAAGTTCAGTGATTTCACTTAAATGACAATGATAATTACCTATCAATTGTTATTTAAGTGAAATTACTGAACTTAAATATACAAGTTTGTCAAAAATCATCATTAAAGAAGAAAATTTCAAATGGCATTTAGAGGCTTTTGCATCTGAACTCTTCATATGTTTTTCGATAAAAATACTTGATTAGTTATTGAGAAAAAAAATGCAATTAAGTTTGATTTAATGTTTCTTTTTTAAGCATTTTAATTGTTATATAGTTGAAAGTAATCGTATAAATCTACACTAAATTTATTATTAATAATATTTCTTTTATTACTAAAAACGGCTTCCCCATTATATTAACTATATTGAGTGATTATTATATGAATATATAACATTTTAAGTCATCCTGCAGCCTCAGGCCCCCTGGACTGAACAAATGAAGTGAAATAGATATGTCATGGAATTAATGATTTTGTCTAATTTTCTGGTTTCCAGAAGATTGATCCTCAATGTATTGTAAAAAAAAAAACAGAAAAAACTGCATAGTTTGTGTTCAGTTCAGTTAAGACATCAAAAATAGTGACCCATTGTCCTTCTCATAAAGTTTCAGTTCAGTATTCCTTCCAAAGACTAAATTTAGTTCATCTTTTTTGCTACAAACGCACCGAATCCTTGCCGTCGAGTGAATTTCGCAAATGGTCCGATGATAAAGCCTTGGGGTACTCCTTAATCCGTTCCTGAAGGCTACTTAGTGCCAGTCTCATCTGGTTCTCAGTGCCTTCCAGTGCCTTGACCTCCATGCTGTAGAAGATGTACAGCATCAGTGTAGAGAGGAGGACGGCAAAGCACAGCGCCCCCAGCAGGTAGAAAGAGGCTTTAGGGAAGGGCTGTTCAGCTCCCAGAGCAAACAACGGCACAGCGGCGATGGCTAACTCAAGTACTAGCAGGACGAGACCCATGATGCCTGTGCGAGCCGCGGTGTGGCGCATGCGCTCAGAGCAGTGCAGACCCACCTTTACTTCAGTACGAGCTTCATTGACTGTGTTGACCAGCTCAGGAAGCTTATCTGAGAGAGAAACATACATAGACACGATTGAAAAGTTTGCGGTCAGACGCATTAAATTGACATTTATCCTTTCCCTTTCAAATAAATGCTGTTTTTTAAAACCTTTCTGTTCATTAAAAGAATCCTGAAAAGAAAAATGCATCATGGTTTCCACAAAAATATGAACTGTTTTCAACATTGATAATAATCAGAAATGTTTTTTTGAGCAGCAAATCATCATATTAGAGTGATTTCTGAAGTAATGATGACAGGAATAAATAAAATAAATACGTAACATTTATTTGAAATTGCAATAGTATAATGTATTTTTGATCAAATAAAAGATGGTCCATAAATACATACATACATACATATGATTTCAGAAGTTTCAAGAACTATATATTTTTCGATAAAAATAATTGATTAGTTATTGAGGGAAAAAATGCAATTAAGTTTGATTTAATGTTTCTTTTTTAGCATTTTAATTGTTATATAGTTGAAAGTAATCATATAAATCTACATTAAATTTATTATTAATAATATTTCTATTATTACTAAAAACAACTTACCCATTTTATTGACGATTCACAATATTACTGTTACTGTATTTTTGATCAAATAAAATATACTTCTTCCAAAAACCTCTTTTTAAAAACATTACCAGCCTCAAATAGTTGATGATGTCAAAACAATCTTTAAAGAAGTAGTTCACCCCAAAATGAAAATGATCATTTAATAATAAAAAAATAATAATCAACAATAATGTTTTGTACTACCTTCTCAGACAAGTTAAGTGAAGATTTCTCATTTTCTACTTAATGCATTTCTCAGGAAAAAAATAAAAAATAAAAATAAATAATATATATATATATATATATATATATATTATGTGATTTTGGAACAATATGAGGGCGAGTACATGAATATTTTGGGTGAAATGTTCCTATAAAACACCTTGACATCCAAAAAACAGAGTCAATTTCCAAACTTCATTATGGAGCAGAAAATACCACAGCATGTGTTTATTGTGTTGTTGTTGTTGTTGCATGCAAAAATGAACGTAATAATATTTCAAGACTCCAAATACCTGGAATACAGCCAAATTCTCTCTCCTTGCATCCATTTCCCTTTTTAGTTGGCGTAAACAGGAACTCGGCAGTGAGAGCTTCGTGGTCTGAATAAGGAAAGGGCTGTCCAGGAACTGGACCCTTAGTGGTGGACAAAGACTCACAGCGCACATCTACTTCCTCTGATCCCTGCAAGAAACAGCGCTGTCAGTATTTGTGTGTACGAGCAAAGAAAGACAAAACTATTAGGTAGAAGAATCTATTGTTCGAAAACTAGAAAGTTGTCAAAGTTTAATATTTTGGGTTTGTACAGACCATTAAACCAGATTATAAGCAAGAGTTTGAGTCTCAGAAAAAACCACTTAAAGGAGTAGTTCACTTTTTAAAAAAAACTTTTGCTGATAATTTACTCGCCCCCTTGTCATCCAAGATGTCCATGTCTTTCTTTCTTCAGTCGAAAAGAAATTAAGGTTTTTGATGAAAACATTCCATATAATGGACTTCAATGGGGTCCAAACGGTTCAAGGTCCAAAAGACAGTTTCAGTGCAGCTTTAAACGACACCAGACGATGAATAAGGGTCTTATCTAGCGAAACGATCGCTCATTTAAAAAAAATTAACAAAGTTTATGTTTTATAAGCTCAAATGCTCGCCTTGCTCTGTTCTGTGATGCGCATTCGTGACTCTCCCGTTTGAAGTCGTTCATCAAAATGAGCGCTCGTTTTGCTTGATAAGACCCTTATTCATCGTCTGGATTCGTTTAAAGCCCTTTGAACAGTTTGCGGTTTGCACTGAAACTGTCTTTTGGACCTTGAACCGTTTGGTCCCCATTGAAGTCCATTATGTGGAGAAAAATCCTGGAATGTTTTCATCAAAAACCTTAATTTCTTTTCGACTGACGTCTTGGATGTCATGGGGGCGAGTAAATTATCATACTAATAACTACGTAATAGAAATAGTAGAAAATTGTTTTACCTTGAACAGGACGTAGTCTATCCGGACTCCTCCCCCAAAAGGAACGAGACCATCCGTGTGTGTGAAAGGGTTTTCAGATATATGGGTGAATCCTTCCTCACATCCCTGGTATTAGCGACAGGATGTCATTATAAATCATAACTCTGGCCCCGTTTACTCCTGCTGTGCTATTACGATGCGTTCTGGTCGATCGGATCACAAGTAGACGACGGAAACACATATACGTTTACGGTAGTTGAAAACACATTCGACCGGATTGCTTTTGTACTGTAAACACTCATGTGTTCGAATCCATTAAAACAACCACACGAGACGCCTACTGACTAGCCAAACTTGGTCGGCTTGAGACCAAAGTTTGGTTCTATTAAATACGTACCATCACAATGAAACTAAAGCCGCTGCTCTCCGTGTGTTTCTTCCGATCTGAAAACAAAAAAAAACATATTTCCCCACCCATAAACACTCCCCTCGAAGAAATCAGGACAGAAGTGATTGAAAGAGGACAAAAGAGCAGTGTTGGGTAAGTTACTCTAAAAAAGTAATTAATTACTAGTTACTAATTACCTCTTCAACAGTGTAATTAGATTACTCTCTCTAAAAAGTATTTAATTACTAATTATCAATCTCAACCAGCAGAATAAAACAAGGATAGACATGAATCTGTTTTAATTCTTTCAAATAAATACTATAAAATTGCACGAATTATCCCTAAACTGACCAAGGTGGAGAAGGTTACATTATAAAAACACACTTTTTAGCATCAGACAATACATTTTGATGTTAAACCCACTATTGTTTTATGTCTGATCGCACACATTTTCATGCATATTTTACAATAATTCATATGAATTTGTACGAGTGCGGTCGCCTCATAAAATGCATGCGAATCGCTGTGATTGATCTATACACAGTATTTACCTCAATTACATCAGAAGTAACTGTAATTAAATTACAGATAAATGAAGAGTAATCCCTTACTTTACATTTTCAAGGGAAAGGTAATTAAATTACAGTAATTAGTTAGTAATTAGTTACACCCAACACTGCGAAAGAGACACCAGGTGTAAACGGGGATGTGTCTGCATCGTCTACTCATGATCCGATGGACCAGAACGCATCTTAACAGCAGGAGTAAAGCTATGCAACATATCATCATAAGATCACACTGCATTACTAACGTCAAAGTGGGCGGCCTCACTGAAGCTATCCAGCAGTCCGGTGTAGTTCCTCAGCAGTCTGGTGCCGAGGTCGCCCGGGTGCATGTTCAGATCTCCAGCCAGGATCACCACGTCCGCTCCAGCACTCGTGTGCCTTTAAGTCGTATACATTGAGGAATCAGAGCAGGAATCTGATTGGCTTACGTTTGTTTTCAACAAAAACCCTGATCAGATCAGTGTGATCTCAGGCAACTTTCATTGAAAGATTAAAAAAACTACACTCACCTAAAGGATTATTAGAAACACCTGTTCAATTTCTCATTAATGCAATAGAGCCCCTAAGTCCCGCCCCTCCGCTTCCGGCTCATGGGACCTTATTTCGGAAAAAATATGAATGGTAGTCAATGGCGAGAGACAACTTATCTTTTTATTCCGTCTGAACTGTGACCCCAATTACACATATGATGTTTGTCCATTTAAAAGATAATCCTGAAAGTCAAAAACGTCGCAGTTTGTCATAAAACAGAAGAGTAACTTTTAGTTTTATGTGAAAATCGCTCTGTGAACTACATCTCCCAGAAGCGAAACGAGATCCGCTGCTCGTGTGTGTGCAGTCTGGTACAAAACACTCGGGTATGACGGCGTTACGTTACGATTATAACGTAAGACTGTAGAAACAATGACAGACGTTAGCCTCAGTAAAGTTATTCATTCATTGAGAGAAAATGTGCGCCTTTGGGGTTTGTAGTCTTTGTAATTACGTATTTTCACAGTCAACGGTTTTACATCAAACCGCGACTTTCTTTACTTTAAAATGTATTTTTTAAATTGGCAAACATCATATGTGTAATTCAGGGCACAATTCAAACCAGATCAAAATATTTGTTGTCTCTCGCCATCGACTACCATTCAATATTTTTCCGAAATAAGGTCCCATGGTGGTCGACCGGAAGGGGCGGGACTTAGGCTCTCTATTATCTAATCAACCAATCACATGGTAGTTGCTTCAGTGCATTTAGGGGTGTGGTCCTGCTCAAGACAATCTCCTGAACTCCAAACTGAATGTCAGAATGGGAAAGAAAGGGGATTTAAGCAATTTTGAGCGTGGCATGGTTGTTGGTGTCTGAGTATTTCACAATCTGGGATTTTCACACACAACCATTTCTAGGGTTTACAAAGAATGGTGTGAGAAGGGAAAATCATCCAGTATGGGTCAGTCCTGTGGGCCAAAATGCCTTGTTGATGCAGCAAAGACACAACACACACAACCTTGAGGCGGATGGGCTACACCAGCAGAAGACCCCACCGGGTACCACTCATCTCCACTACAAATAGGAAAAAGAGGCGACAATTGGCAAGAGCTCACCAAAACTGGACAGTTGAAGACTGGAAAAATGTGGCCTGGTCTGATGAGTCTGGATTTCTGTTTAGTAGAGTCGTAAACAGAATGAGAACATGGATCATCATGCCTTGTTCCCACTGTGCAGGCTGGTGGTGGTGGTGTAATGGTGTGTTTTCTTGGCACATTTTAGGCCCCTTAGTGCCAATCGGGCAACGTTTAAATGCCACGGCCAACCTGAGCATTGTTTCTGACCATGTCCATCCCGTTATGGCCACCATGACCCCATCCTCTGATGGCTACTTCCAGCAGGATAATACACCATGTCACAAACGTTTCTTGAACATGACAATGTGTTGACTGTAGTAAAATGGCCGCCACAGTCACCAGATCTCAACCCAATAGAGCATCTTTGGGATGTGGAGTAACGGGAGCTTCATCCCACAAATCTCCATCAACTGCAAGATGCGATCCTATCAATATGGGCCGACATTTCTAAAGAATGCTTGTTGAATCAATGCCACGTAGAATTAAGGCCGTTCTAAAGGTCAAACACAGTGTTAGTGTGTGTTCCTAATAATCCTTTAGGTGAGTGTATGTTAGGCTTGAAATAAACCCACAGCCATGGGTAAAACTGCAAAAATAGACTTCTGACCTTATGAACTGTTGCAGCTCCCAGGCTTGAACCACTCGGTGCGGGAGATATGAATCTTTCTCTCTGCAATATTCTGCATGCAGCTGGAATAAACAAACATTAATGCCAGTGTTGTGTTTTTATATCAATTCCGACTTTATATCTCGCAATTCTGACTTTATATCAATCAATTCTGACTTTATGTCACGCAATTCTGACTTTATATCTCGCAATTCTGACTTTATGTCACGCAATTCTGACTTTATATCTCGCAATTCTGACTTTATATCTCGCAATTTCGACTTTATATCAATCAATTCTGACTTTATATCAATCAATTCTGACTTTATATCTCGCAATTCTGACTTTATATCTCGCAATTTCGACTTTATATCAATCAATTCTGACTTTATATCAATCAATTCTGACTTTATATCTCGCAATTTCGACTTTATATCAATCAATTCTGACTTTATATCAATCAATTCTGACTTTATATCTCGCAATTTCGACTTTATATCAATCAATTCTGACTTTATATCAATCAATTCTGACTTTATATCTCGCAATTCTGACTTTATATCTCGCAATTTCGACTTTATATCAATCAATTCTGACTTTATATCTCGCAATTCTGACTTATATCAATCAATTCTGACTTTATGTCACGCAATTCTGACTTTATATCTCGCAATTCTGACTTTATATCAATCAATTCTGACTTTATGTCACGCAATTCTGACTTTATATCTCGCAATTCTGACTTTATATCGCGAAACTCTGACTTTATATCTCGCAATTCTGACTTTATATCTCGCAATTCTGACTTTATGTCACGCAATTCTGACTTTATGTCACGCAATTCTGACTTTATATCTCGCAATTCTGACTATATCTCGCAATTCTGACTTTATGTCACGCAATTCTGACTTTATATCTCATAATTCTGACTTTATATCTCGCAATTCTGACTTTATATCTCGCAATTCTGACTTTATATCTCGCAATTCTGACTTTATATCTCGCAATTCCGACTTTATATCACACAATTCTGACTTTATATCTCACAATTCTGACTTTATATCTCGCAATTCTGACTTTATGTCACGCAATTCTGACTTTATATCTCGCAATTCTGACTTTATATCTCGCAATTCTGACTTTATGTCACGCAATTCTGACTTTATATCTCATAATTCTGACTTTATATCTCGCAATTCTGACTTTATATCTCGCAATTCTGACTTTATATCTCGCAATTCTGACTTTATATCTCGCAATTCTGACTTTATATCTCACAATTCTGACTTTATATCTCGCAATTCTGACTTTATGTCACGCAATTCTGACTTTATGTCACGCAATTCTGACTTTATATCTCGCAATTCTGACTTTATATCTCGCAATTCTGACTTTATGTCACGCAATTCTGACTTTATATCTCATAATTCTGACTTTATATCTCGCAATTCTGACTTTATATCTCGCAATTCTGACTTTATATCTCGCAATTCCGACTTTATATCTCGCAATTCCGACTTTATATCACACAATTCTGACTTTATATCTCGCAATTCTGACTTTATATCTCGCAATTCTGACTTTATATCAATCAATTCTGACTTTATATCAATCAATTCTGACTTTATATCTCACAATTTCGACTTTATATCAATCAATTCCGACTTTATATCAATCAATTCTGACTTTATATCTCGCAATTCTGACTTTATCATGCAATTCTGAGTTTATATCTCGCAATTCTGACTTTATATCTTGCAATTCTGAGTTTATATCTCGCAATTCTGACTTTATATCTCGCAATTCTGAGTTTATATCTCGCAATTCTGACTTTATATCTCGCAATTTCGACTTTATATCAATCAATTCTGACTTTATATCTTACAATTCTGACTTTATATCTCGCAATTTCGACTTTATATTAATCAATTCTGACTTTATATCTCGCAATTTCGACTTTATATCAATCAATTCTGACTTTATATCTTACAATTCTGACTATATCTCGCAATTTCGACTTTATATCAATCAATTCTGACTTTATATCTCGCAATTCTGACTTTATATCTCACAATTCTGACTTTATATCTCGCAATTCTGACTTTATATCTCGCAATTCTGACTTTATATCTCGCAATTCTGACTTTATATCTCGCAATTCTGACTTTATATCTCGCAATTCTGACTTTATATCTTGCAATTCTGACTTTATATCTCGCAATTTTGACTTTATATCTCGCAATTTTGACTTTATATCTCGCAATTCTGACTTTATATCTCGCAATTCTGACTTTATATCTCGCAATTCCGACTTTATATCAATCAATTCTGACTTTATATCTTACAATTCTGACTATATCTCGCAATTTCGACTTTATATCAATCAATTCTGACTTTATATCTTGCAATTCTGACTTTATATCTCACAATTCTGACTTTATATCTCGCAATTCTGACTTTATATCTCGCAATTCTGACTTTATATCTCGCAATTCTGACTTCATATCTCGCAATTCTGACTTTATATCTCGCAATTCTGACTTTATATCAATCAATTCTGACTTTATATCAATCAATTCTGACTTTATATCAATCAATTCTGACTTTATATCTCACAATTTCGACTTTATATCAATCAATTCCGACTTTATATCAATCAATTCTGACTTTATATCTCGCAATTCTGACTTTATCATGCAATTCTGAGTTTATATCTCGCAATTCTGACTTTATATCTCGCAATTCTGACTTTATATCTCGCAATTCTGACTTTATATCTCGCAATTTCGACTTTATATCAATCAATTCTGACTTTATATCTTACAATTCTGACTTTATATCTCGCAATTTCGACTTTATATTAATCAATTCTGACTTTATATCTCGCAATTTCGACTTTATATCAATCAATTCTGACTTTATATCTTACAATTCTGACTATATCTCGCAATTTCGACTTTATATCAATCAATTCTGACTTATATCTCGCAATTCTGACTTTATATCTCACAATTCTGACTTTATATCTCACAATTCTGACTTTATATCTCGCAATTCTGACTTTATATCTCGCAATTCTGACTTTATATCTCGCAATTCTGACTTTATATCTCGCAATTCTGACTTTATATCTCGCAATTCTGACTTTATATCTCGCAATTCTGACTTTATATCTTGCAATTCTGACTTTATATCTCGCAATTTTGACTTTATATCTCGCAATTTTGACTTTATATCTCGCAATTCTGACTTTATATCTCGCATTTCCGACTTTATATCAATCAATTCTGACTTTATATCTTACAATTCTGACTATATCTCGCAATTTCGACTTTATATCAATCAATTCTGACTTTATATCTCACAATTCTGACTTTATATCTCGCAATTCTGACTTTATCATGCAATTCTGAGTTTATATCTCGCAATTCTGACTTTATATCTCGCAATTCTGACTTTATATCTCGCAATTCTGACTTTATATCTCGCAATTTCGACTTTATATCAATCAATTCTGACTTTATATCTTACAATTCTGACTTTATATCTCGCAATTTCGACTTTATATTAATCAATTCTGACTTTATATCTCGCAATTTCGACTTTATATCAATCAATTCTGACTTTATATCTTACAATTCTGACTATATCTCGCAATTTCGACTTTATATCAATCAATTCTGACTTTATATCTCGCAATTCTGACTTTATATCTCACAATTCTGACTTTATATCTCGCAATTCTGACTTTATATCTCGCAATTCTGACTTTATATCTCGCAATTCTGACTTTATATCTCGCAATTCTGACTTTATATCTCGCAATTCTGACTTTATATCTTGCAATTCTGACTTTATATCTCGCAATTTTGACTTTATATCTCGCAATTTTGACTTTATATCTCGCAATTCTGACTTTATATCTCGCAATTCTGACTTTATATCTCGCAATTCCGACTTTATATCAATCAATTCTGACTTTATATCTTACAATTCTGACTATATCTCGCAATTTCGACTTTATATCAATCAATTCTGACTTTATATCTCGCAATTCTGACTTTATATCTCACAATTCTGACTTTATATCTCGCAATTCTGACTTTATATCTCGCAATTCTGACTTTATATCAATCAATTCTGACTTCATATCTCGCAATTCTGACTTTATATCTCGCAATTCTGACTTTATATCAATCAATTCTGACTTTATATCAATCAATTCTGACTTTATATCAATCAATTCTGACTTTATATCTCACAATTTCGACTTTATATCAATCAATTCCGACTTTATATCAATCAATTCTGACTTTATATCTCGCAATTCTGACTTTATCATGCAATTCTGAGTTTATATCTCGCAATTCTGACTTTATATCTCGCAATTCTGACTTTATATCTCGCAATTCTGACTTTATATCTCGCAATTTCGACTTTATATCAATCAATTCTGACTTTATATCTTACAATTCTGACTTTATATCTCGCAATTTCGACTTTATATTAATCAATTCTGACTTTATATCTCGCAATTTCGACTTTATATCAATCAATTCTGACTTTATATCTTACAATTCTGACTATATCTCGCAATTTCGACTTTATATCAATCAATTCTGACTTATATCTCGCAATTCTGACTTTATATCTCACAATTCTGACTTTATATCTCGCAATTCTGACTTTATATCTCGCAATTCTGACTTTATATCTCGCAATTCTGACTTTATATCTCGCAATTCTGACTTTATATCTCGCAATTCTGACTTTATATCTTGCAATTCTGACTTTATATCTCGCAATTTTGACTTTATATCTCGCAATTTTGACTTTATATCTCGCAATTCTGACTTTATATCTCGCAATTCTGACTTTATATCTCGCATTTCCGACTTTATATCAATCAATTCTGACTTTATATCTTACAATTCTGACTATATCTCGCAATTTCGACTTTATATCAATCAATTCTGACTTTATATCTCACAATTCTGACTTTATATCTCGCAATTCTGACTTTATATCTCGCAATTCCGACTTTATATCTCGCAATTCTGACTTTATATCTCGCAATTCTGACTTTATATCTCGCAATTCCGACTTTATATCAATCAATTCTGACTTTATATCTTACAATTCTGACTTTATATCTCGCAATTTCGACTTTATATCAATCAATTCTGACTTTATATCAATCAATTCTGACTATATCTCGCAATTTCGACTTTATATCAATCAATTCTGACTTTATATCTCACAATTCTGACTTTATATCTCGCAATTCTGACTTTATATCTCGCAATTCTGACTTTATATCTCGCAATTCTGACTTTATATCTCGCAATTCTGACTTTATATCAATCAATTCTGACTTTATATCAATCAATTCTGACTTTATATCTCACAATTTCGACTTTATATCAATCAATTCTGACTTTATATCTCGCAATTCTGACTTTATCACGCAATTCTGAGTTTATATCTCGCAATTCTGACTTTATATCTCGCAATTTCGACATTATATCAATCAATTCTGACTTTACAACACGGAAATCTGAGAAATAAAGTCAGAATTGCGAGATAAAAAGTCTCAATTACCTTTTTTATTTTTTCATTCTGTGGCGAAAACAAGCTTCCATACATAAGTGCTAATGGCAAAAGCACATAATAAAATAACTAAAATGAAAAATAAACAGTAAATTCAAAATATAAATAAATACTTCAATAGTAAAATAAGACTCGTACACACATTTTGCATGAACTTACATGAGTTACAAAGACATGAACATTCAGCCCACTGATGTTAAGCAGGACCTTCCCGACAGCCTTGCCACCGAACCAGTCGCCATGCTGAGCCTGATTCAAGATCAGATCATTAACAAGCCTCAAACAGAGCATCAATCAGCCCTGACACCAACGCCACTTAGATGGTCTCAATAATGGATGTATGGTTTACAGTTTCGACTGATTAGGATGTAAAATATTGTTTAAAACCATAATATGTTTATTATGTATGTACATTATTAAGTATTTTATAAATGCAATAAGGTACTCAAGAATGTGCTATATTGTGAATATGATCATTTCTTGTAAACTTCATTTATATTAAAGTAGAAAAGCAGGATGTCTGTACACATAATTGATCAGACCCACCATGTACGGGTATCCGTTTAATGAGTATCTGTACAGAAAAGCGTCATGGATTCGATGTCTGGAAAACACGGCCAGTCCACTTCCTATAAATCCACTGAAGACGAGAAAATGCGTTCACAACTGTGTCCCAAATTTGTGCATTAAAGCCTGAAGAACTTTTCAGGGACTTCATGGATATATTCATGCATTTAAACATGATTTACCTTTTAAAATAATGGGAAAACGGATAGACGCTGCCGAGCTTCTTCTTTAAAAACAGAAAGTCTTCCTCACACCAGACCTGTAACCAAAACATGTCATTCTACAGTACAATCCTGTTTCAACCATCAGCTAAAAGGCAACAGACGCATCTGAATCATATTCGACATTATGAATGTGTGTGTGTATGCCTGTAAACATCTATACTTGTGCAAGTTTGCTTCACCTCCTGCAGTAACGCTATATCCAGCTGTTCCTGATTCAGCAGATCTCCGATCAGAACAAACCGGTCCCTGCAGTTCTTACTGAGGTATCGGACCCCCCTAAAACAATCACAGCAAACTCAGGCACTCATCCTTTACACATTTAGCACTTCATGATATCAATTCAGTGCATACACATTTGAGGGAAAAATAAAAATATCCATTTTAACAGTACGAAATGAAAAATCACAAATCTGCATATGCAAATTTCTGAAACACACAGTAAAAAGGTTTATTTACATGTTTTCTGTTTTATATTTTTTTATGAAATGAAAATTATTTATTATAAATATCTAAAAAAAAGTTATTTTGTCACTTGGTATGAAAAATATCTTGTAGAAAGATAGGGAAGATAAGTAAGTGTATTGCATTCACTTGAGGAAACAAAATTGACTTCTGAATTAACGAGTTAATTATCTCCCAATTATGAGATATATTTTTTTTCTTGAAGATAATTAAGTCATTAATTCAGAAAAACAGAGCAAAAACTAGTTTTTCCATTAAAAATTCTCGTAATTCTGAGATAATTAACTCGTTAATTCATAAAAACACAGCAAAAACTTTTTTTCTTGAAAAATTATCTGGTAATTATGATATAATTAACTCGTTAATTCAGAAAAACAGAGCAAAAACTTTTTTACATTAAAAATTAACTCATAATTATGAGATAATTAATTCATAAAAACACAGCAAAAACTTTTTTTTTCTTGAAAAATTATCTGGTAATTTTGATATAATTAACTTGTTAATTCAGAAAAACAGAGCAAAAACTTGTTTTTCCATTATAATTTCTCGTAATTCTGAGATAATTAACTCGTTAATTCATAAAACACAGCAAAAACTTTGTTTTCTTGAAAAATGATCTGGTAATTATGATATAATTAACTTGTTAAGTCAGAAAAACAGAGCAAAAACTTATTTTTCCATGAAAAATTCTCGTAATTCTGAGATAATTAACTTGTTAATTCATAAAAACACAGCAAAAACTTTGTTTTCTTGAAAAATGATCTGGTAATTATGATATAATTAACTTGTTAAGTCAGAAAAACAGAGTAAAAACTTATTTTTCCATGAAAAATTCTCGTAATTCTGAGATAATTAACTTGTTAATTCAGAAAAACAGTAGATTATTTTTTTCTTCAAGTGAATGCAATACACTTCCGTACAAAGTAAATATTTTTCAGATAATATTTTAATAATTTGTTTTGGCTTTTTTGTTTTTTAAGTTGGAACCCTATAAAATATTCCCAGTAGGATCCGTTAGATAGATTAATTATGAATATCAGAATACCTCAGCAAAAGGAGCCGCGTATCGACGTAAAGAGTGAACTTACCAGCAGTTGAGAGAGAAGACACGTAATCTGATTGGCTCTGGGGTTGTCATGGCGATACGTCTTATGGGATGGTCTGTGAGGATAGATGAGAGAATTCAGTTCCAACACACAAAACAAAACGGGGTTGATTCAGTTGGTCATTTCTCAGAATGAGCGTTACTCTACGCTCGACACTGTTTACACTAAACACTGCACTAAAAGCTGAACTTAGTTTGTCTTTAGCCATGTTGAAACATACTGTGAAAAAAAAAAACTATATATAATAATATAAAATACATATTTAATACATAATTTTATATTTACCTGACCTGGCTAAAATCTGTATTAAACCGAGACGGTGTGTTTAGTCAGTAGCTTTCTAACAGGAACTAGTTCACAGGAACCATGCGAGTCATTTAAACACCTTTGACTGAGTAAATCCACAAACAGAGATCAGCGCTCATAAATCATAAAGCGCGGCTCCTGGTGGATATTATTGTGGCTCCACCTCAATCCCGAGGGTCAAAGGTCCACTTACTGTGTTGCCATGGTGACACTGTACACAACACACCCTGCAGACGGGCTGTGGCCATACACTTATATACACATTTTAATGTAATATACTGTGTGTTATAATGCAGTGTTGTATAATTCATTATAACACTGATCTATTCATTGTTACACCTTTAGACACTGTAATGCATTCAATCAAATGACAAACATTTCAGTACTGGCAATATTATAATGCATTTTAACTTTGGTTACAATTATTTATGACAAAATTTAATGCATTATAATTGATGTTAATTGACACATTAAGAGATGGTATTATAATGGGATCACACTACGGTAATACTATGGCATATCATTCACTACTGACATTAATTTATGAAATTAAGACACGAGATTCTTGCAAATCCCCTAAGATCGTTCTAATATAAACTCACAGTAACACACACACACACACACACACACACTGAGTGATCTGAATAATGCAGCATGTGTTTGTGATGACAGTGAATCAGTGTGTATTCATTTTACACCAGTACACATCAACATTTGCTCCAACAGCGTTATGATCTCAGGGACAGTAAACACAGACACAGCTGCTCCACACACACACACACACACACACACACACTGACAGGCGCCAGGAGGATCTGTGTTTACTGACTGAGATATGAAGGAGACCAGCCACTGAGCCTGAATATATGTGTATGTGTGTGTGTATATATATATATATATATATAAAAATATATGCCTAAGCATATGTATAAAATTGATACTCATTTGCAAACTGGTCGTGTGCTGGTCTTTTTTTCTGACACACCTTTCACCTGCAGGTGTGCGATGGTGTTTGCTAATTGATTTATTATATGTTTAAAATGTAGTTATTCATGTGGCATAAATTCTCAGCAGTTATTACTATGTTTTTTATAAGGTATCTCTAGAGAGAGAGAGAGAGAGAGCATGTATGTAAGCCCATATTAAGCAACATAGTAAATATATATATATATATATATATATATATATATATATATATATATATATATATATATATATAAAAAGTTTTAAATGTTGTATGTAATCATACATCATATGAATAAATACAATACACTATATGAACAAATATAATACAAAAGAAAACCGTTCTTTTAAATGTAATATTTGACTGTTTTTACAGTGATCAAAAATGAAGCATTGCTGAACATAAAATACTTATTGCAAACACACACAGAGACATAGACAGGGACATTATTGAAGGTAGTGCAGACTTATATATAGATGCCTAAATCACACTTTAAATTGAATGTCAGTGCAAAAAGCAATCAAATGATGGAGGATCTTTTAACCCTCAGCTGCTCTTCGTTTCGGAGTCACACTTGTTATCTTCCCGGTCAAAAGTGACCGGACACCTAAAAATGAAACTTTCTCCATCCCAGTAAAACCAATGCAATTTATTTTTGTTCTATAATATTTAGACAATTTAATTGAATTTATTAATATTTATGCAATTATTATGGTTTATTTTTGCCATGGAAATATATATATATATATTTTTCTATATATATATATATATATATTATTTTTTTCAAAAAAATATTAATGCAGTATTTTAGTTTAATATAGAGTCTAGGCCTTCAGAAAAAAAATATTTTTTGAAGAAAATTAGCACCATCTGGTTACAGTATAGAGAAAAAGCGTAGAATCATGGTGTAACCACTAGATGGCATGTACAGCTCTCTATGGAGAGGCATGTGAATTCCCCAGATGTTTATGCACACATTTTTTGTTGTTGGATTTGAATACACAGTTGAAACAATCTCAAAAACTATTTCTTATTAAAAAAAATGACAAAAAACAAAAATTCACAATTTTTTTTTCTTTTTTTTTTTTTTGACAATTTCCCATTCATTTCCTATGGGGGTCATTTTTGACCAAAGACCACAAGTGTGACTATTTTTTTTAAGACCACTTAGCATGCTCAGATCATGACCTCAATTTTTTGTGTGTTCACATACATAATGCCATAAAACTCACGAAGTTTCGTAACATCGCGATGAAGCTGTGATTTTTAAAATTTCAAAACATACTTTTTGTAATCAAAATTTATTGGTGTGTATGTGCATAAAAGTGTGTTCGTATGTGTGTGTGTCTGTTTTGCACTCTAGATGTAGATTGTCACCCCTTTCCTGCGGTGTACTTTTTTTTTTTAGAAGTGTAGTCGATTTGTCGATTGAACATACAAAAATTCAGAGAATTTTTTTTTTTTTTTTGTCAATTTCCCATTCATTTCCTATGGGTCGGTCATTTTTGACAGACCACCGAAATTGCTCGAATCATGACTTCATTTTTTTTGTGTGTGTGTTTACATACATAATGCCATAAAAGTCACCAAGTTTCGTAATTTTCTGAAGAAGCTGTGATTTTTATATATTCAAAACAGATTTCTTTAATCACAATTTATTGGTGTTTTTGTGTATAAAAGTGTGTGTAGGGGTGGGTATGTCTGTTTTGCACTCTTGATGTTTTAGAGTGTCACCCCTTCAATGTTGAGCACTTTTTTTCTGCATCGTGGCCGATTTGTAGATTGTACACACAAAAATTCTCAAAGTTTTTGTGTTTTTGTCAATTGTCCCATTCATTTCCTATGGTCGGTCATTTTTGACCGAAGAGCACAAGTGTGACTATTTTTTTTCATGACCTAATTTTTTTGTGTGTTCACATACCTAATGCCATAAAAGTCACCAAGTTTCGTAACATTCCGATGAAGTAGTGATTTTAAAAAATTCAAAACAGAAAATGTTTCGGTCAGAAATGACCGAAGAGCACCCGAGGGTTAACTTAAATGGTATTACATGCAATCTTATATGCTGGAGATCCGATCTTACCTTTATTAACTTACTTGAAAAGGTTTCACTCAATCAGTCCAAAACAGTCTTCGGCGCTTTAGTATAATCTCTGGTATGGACAGTTTTTCATGAGCTTTTGAGTCTCATATCCTGTCCGACCGCGACTTCCTCATCTAACTTACTGATCTATCGTCAGATGTCTCTGAAGAAAAGACATTCGATTTATCAAACGCGTTTGTTGGACATTTATTATTTAACTTCAACCTGTAACATGAGTAAACGTGTTCACGTGAATCAAAATAAAGCTTTATCAAGCGTCTCTCTTTGGCTGACACGCGTTTGAATGGCGCATAATCAGAGTTTTGCAATACAATGGTCAAAGGAAGTGTTTTATTCGTTTGTTTTCCCACAAGAGCTATTTTGCAGCAAATGCATTGAAGTTGGTGACGTCACGCGTGAGTCCGGCGTCGACGTAGCGGTTTCGTCATCAACAAGCGCCTCGATGATGACTGGATTGCTGGGAAAATGAGTTCGTTTACTTTTCTCATATAATCTGTTCGGTCAGGTACGACAGATCAAAATAATAGTTGTTCTATTTTAATATATTTTAGTCCTTATTTCAATTAAATTCATTATTCGGGTGAAATTTTCTAGACTGTTACTTTTCTCAGCGCGTTAAGATGTTTTTAAAGGGATAGTTCACCCAAAAATGAAAATTCTGTCATTTACTCGCCCTCAATTTGTTCCGAACCTAAATAAATGTCTTTGTTCTGATGAATACAAAACAATATATTATGAAGAGTGTTTGTAGCCAAACAGATGACATTTAAAGGAAACACTTTGGAAGTCTGTTTGGTTAAAATATCATCTTTAGTTTTCAGCAGAAGAGATACAGGCTCAGATCATGAGGGGGAAATGACAGAATTTTATCTATCCCGTTAAAATCTCTTTAAATGTATTTGTGTGCGCCAAAAACAATCCTGAAATATTTACACAAAAGTACTTTCTAGATCAAAAAAAAAAAAGAAGTTTCTAGTCAGTTTAACGTAATTTGAGTTGAAATAGCTTAAATGATTGTACTTAATTTAAGGCAGCAACTTATAAATATATATTAAAACACCATAGTACTTTGTTGTAAGAGGAATATTATCTATTTCTGAACAGTCAGTAAACCTGCAGTGGCGATAATTCATTACAAAATACAATCAACTCTCACAAGTTGTTATAAGCTGAGATACTCTGTTGTTCAGTACTGTGCTTTTTGTCAAAGAGAATAAAGACATTTTTACAAAGTTGTAAGTGTGTTTTAAGAAATATGGTCCAAGGAGACCCATGCCATTTTATTGGTATTGCTATACATTGTTTTGATTATATTGTACAAACCCTAACATTGAAGATATTCGATACATAACTGCAATGCACAATTGGCAACCAAGGCCACAACGAATTGTTAAAAACAGGGGAAAGCTTTTGCCAACACCACTTAGATTATGGCATAAAATAACAGAAGTAACAATTTTCAATGTATGCATATAGGATCAAACATAAAATTAATAATTATAACAACAATAATTATAAAAATGGAAACAAAAAGCCTCTAAGAAAAAAACACAATTGAGGAAACTCTCGTCATTGAAGTTCAAACATGAAAACGCAGGTTAAGATTGTACCAATATACATTACATTTCTGCTTTTAAGGTGTACCCAAGAATTAGCAGTACCTTCAAAACTTATCTAGACATAAAACTGCAATCAGCGAGTGCCAACTCATGACCAAAAACCATCCATACAAGAACATTTCCATACAAACGGTGCTGTCTTTCAATTTAAAGGGCGAAAATGCTACATGATTTTATCAAGTACGGGTATTTGAAACATCAAATCAGAGCTAAAATTCAAGTTTTTAGTTCTCTGTGGGGAAAATAAACATGATTTCATTTTCAGTAGTAGCAAAAGATACCCATGACCCATTAAAACGGCAGTTCTGTAAAAAAACACACCTGGTGCATTCATGTAATCCAAACGTAATTGTAAAGAAAGCGACTTTTTTAAGGGAGTATGCGCAAACAATAAGAACTATAACATGGTGAAATTACTGACTTTCCCTTTTACACTATACTATACTAAAAAAAAAAACAGTCGTTTAACTCAAAACGAAAGCATCCGACGGGTTGCAGAAGAAGGTAAACAGTGCAGGGACGACGTGAAGGTGAAGATGAACGAAAGAAGAAACACACATTCTCTTTGAGGGTTTAAAGCACCAGAAAGCACGACAGTAATGCAACATTCTCAGATTGAAAAAGACAAAAAACAGGCAAATCTATCGAGGTATTGTTCCAGGATTAAACATTTAAAATCTCGATGGGCAGCAACTGTGAAGCCGTTTCTCATTGTACCAGAGTGACATTTAAAGGGATAGTTCACTTTGAAATTTATTTTTGGTATGTTTTAGCTGTCCTCAAGGGCATCCAAGATGTAAGTGTCTTCGTTTACGCATTTTTGATATTTTTAGGTCAAACCGTTGTCTGTCAGTCATATAATGGAGGTCTATGGTCACCACCTCAAAGAGCATGCACAGAGAAGTCCAAATTAAACATGATTTAATGACTCGTAAATGTAAGCACACATTGATGGCCTAAGACACAAAACGAGCGGTTTGTGTGAGAAAAACGAACAGTATTTATATCGTTTTTACCTTTTGTAATCACAGCCACGTCCAAGTGATCTGAGGGCGCGGGTGCTTTGGTAAAAACAATATAAACACCGTTCGTTTTCTAACCCTAACCGCTCGTTTCGTGTCTTAAGCCATCAATGTGTACTTACATTCTCGAGTCATTAAATCCTGTTTAATTTGGACTTCTCTGTGCATGCTCTTTGAGGTGGTGACCATAGACCTCCATTATATGACTGACAGACAAAGACACCTACATCTTGGATGCCCTCGAGGTAAGCTAAAACACACCAAAAATAAATTTCAAAGTGAACTATCCGACGCATCTTAAGAAAGCTTCAATGAACAGCAGAGTCAAACACTTAGTCATGTTGTAGCATAAAGAAATGGATCGCTTTATCTATTCCTACTATTTTACGTCGAGAGGTAGTCAAAAGGCACTTCAGAGTATCAATCAACTTGTGTTCTTTGAAGAAAGGCACTCACATTTGGGTCAACTACTCAAAATACTTTAGTACGGTTTCTGACGCCCCCTCTGTTGTTCAAACGACATCTGCAGAACTGAAATCTTGTGTTGTTTGGTTCAAGGCCGTGCAGTGTGTTTTCAGTAGGTCTGTCTTAATAAAAAATGAACGTAAACCCTCCGCTGGCCGACCTGGTCCTCATTTACAAATCAGGTGAATCTCATGAAACCTGTCAGGTCATATTTCACCCCAAAATCAAATCAAATAAAAAATTATTTTCTCATATGTATATATATATATATATATATATATATATATACATATATATATATACATGTTCTATATATTCTCATATTTATATATATACACTAGGGCTGTCAAACGATTAATCGCATCCAAGATAAAAGTTTGTGTTTCCATAATATATGTGGGTGCACTGTGTATAATTATTTTATATATATAAATACACACGCATGCTTGTATAGATTTAAGAAATATTTTCATGTATATACTGTATATAGATTTATATATAATTTATATTATATATAAATATAAATATTTTATATATAAATAATATTTTTTTTTTTAAATATACATGCATGTGTGTGTATTTATATATACAAAATAATTATACACAGTGCACCCACATATATTATGGAAACACAAACTTTTATCTTGGATGCGATTAATCACAATTAATCGTTTGACAGCCCTAGTATATATATATATAATTGTATTGCATTATGCCATTTGAACACATTTCCTCCCAATTCTGAGTAATGTAATGCTATGTTAAACAAAAATCACTGCATTCAGACAGGATGATTTCTGCTAGTGTCTAATCAGAATAGCATATTCTGTTGCATGATGATGATAGGAATTTATTAAAATAATGTCAAAATGCAATTTTCTTCTCTCTAAAAACAGCCTTTATTCAAAGGTATATATTTTTAATCTCTTGATTTAAGAGTAAAATGAGATTTCTTCATGAGATTCACCCTTCTTATATCACTGTAAAATGCTGCATGCACCACTTATAAACGGCACACATTGTCTTCCATGACATTCTTTCCCATCCACACATTCACATTCCCTCCATGGAGACGCAACAAAGCTTAACACGACATCTATGATCTGTATATGCAACAAAACCAATGCGACCCATTTAAGGCAAGTTTTTTTTAAACAGAGTAATACTATATTTTTTTTATGTCCTCAAAGACTCGATCAAATTGTGCACCAGGATCAGAACAGAAGCAAAACATTTGGTTTTGTGTAACATTTTGGCGTATTCCTCCGATGTTTGGACAATTTGGCATATTCCTCCACACGTGTGACGGAGGGAGTGTGCAAAGCAACAGAAGTCTGTTGACAGAAGCGCGCTAGTCCTTAATGAGCCTATAGACGTGGTATTGTGCCCCGTGTTCACTCGTCGACACTTCGAATACAAACGCTATACACAGTAGTGTCTCCTGGGTTTCCCTGTGGGTCACCACCTGCAGCGAGGCAAACAGAAGACAAGAACATTCAGAGAATTCATATTACAGAAGAATAAAACAATGGTTTCATATACTAAAATAAATAAATAAATAAATTTAAAAAATATATACATATAATATATATAATTTTTGTAGTGTCTATTTGATGCTTTTCTCACTTAACACAATAACAATATCTTTTGGGAGTCATTTCTCAGCCAAATTTAATGTGTGATTAATTTGCGATTCATTAGATTAATTAATCTGCATATCGTGTAATTAGTAAAAATTAGAGCCCTATCGATACAAATATTTTTTGGTTTTAAAATCCGATATATTTTTTATTTTTTTATTTCAGAAAGGCGCAACAAAACATTAACAGATTTCCCTAACATTAGTTATTTAATTTTTTTAGCCAAAATAATACGATAATGCATTTTAAAAAGAAACTTTCTAAAAGTTTATTTTATTGTCACAACAGAACAGACTGATGATAGTGGTATTAGCTAGCTTTATGGTTAGCTAGTCTATGATGAACCATAATTTAGCAATGGATTATGTCATACTGCAAATTGTAAAACATACATTTTCAATATAACAGGCCAAGGAAACTTCCACCGACCACAAATTTTGTCATGCTTATTTGAGTTTAGAGAACTGATGGGGATGTTCTTTTAATTGTTATTCAAGCAATGTATGACCAACGTGACCAACTCAACGAGTGTTGCCAACAGGAACGCTGTAGAGTGCCCTCTGGTGGACAAACTATACAACTCTCATGACATGGTTCAAGCGTGTTTTGTCTGTTTTTATTTTATTTTTGAAATATTCATTTATCGGCCATTTTAACTGCCGATACCGATAGTTTGGAAAATGCCTAATATCGGCCGATAATATCGGTCTGGGTCTAGTAAAAATGTAATCGCTTGACATCCATAATAAAATCAAAACACTGCATAGTCTTCACTGTATGAATTAAATATAAACTGATTCTTGACAGACAGCAGGTATATTAAAATAATTAAATAAATGTTAGTTTAGCTAATTTCACTATATAAATATTTATTTTATTTTGTGTTTCCAATAAATTATAGGAAAAAAAAAAATCTGCCAAACTATAAATTAATTCTCAGATAATGCCTCACTTTAAATGTTATGAAAAGTACTACAATATCGTAATATATAATCTTTCAAAATCAACTATGAAATATTCTTGGGCCTTTTACCTGTAAGATGGTGAAGTTTTCTAATACGCTGTTCATCATGTATTTCTCAGGCAGGTGCTTGAGCTTGTGGATGAAGTTGATCATATATTCGCACATGGGAGAACGATGGATGCGATACAAACACTTCCCTCCCTCAACACGAGCGAACTCGGTCTGTAAACGCAAATGGGCTTTTTAAAAGAGAAGCACTGGCACTTTTCAGTCATATTAATGGTGTTGGCGATCACACTCACCTCCACTTTTTCCACCACTTGCTTCCCGAAGGAGCAGACTTTGGTTGAGACGGTGATGGTCATGTTCTCTGAGCTGCTGTACTGACTGCTGACTCCGTAGAAGGAGCCCGGCCCATCCTGGACGCCACTGTTATTCAGATCCGCCTGAGAAAATACACACTCAGTATTATAGCGCATACCATGCTACAACCTATGGAAGCTTGTTTCCGCACTGAATAAAAAAATGAATGATAATAATTGCGACTATATAATATTTTTTTATCTCAGAATTGCGAGATATGAAGTCAGAATTGTAAGAAATACTTGCAATTCTGAGATATAAAGCTATAAAGCAAGATAGCAATTGCGATACATAAAGTCGCAGTTCTGAGAAATAAAGTTGCAATTGCAAGATATAAATGTGCAATTCTGAGAAATAGTCACAATAACGAGATATAAAGTCGCAATTCTGAGAAATAAAGTCACAATGGCGAGATAAAAAGTCGCAATTCTGAGAAATAAAGTCACAATTGCCAGATATAAAATCTCAATTCTGAGAAATAAAGTCACAATTACGAGATATAAAATCTCAATTCTGAGAAATAAAGTCACAATTGCCAGATATAAAATCTCAATTCTGAGAAATAGTCGCAATTGCAGATATAAAATTGCAATTCTGAAAAATTCAATTCATCACAGAACAGAGCAAGGTGAGCATTTGTGCTTATAAAACTTAAACTTTTTTATTTATTTTTTAAATGAGCGATCGTTTCGCTTGATAAGACCCTTATTCATCGTCTGGTGTGGTTTAAAGCCCTTTGAAGCTGCACTGAAACTCTCATTTGGACCTTGAACCGTTTGGACCCCATTGAAGTCCATTATATGGAGAAAATCCTGGAATGTTTATCATCAAAAACCTTAATTTCTTTTCGACTGAAGAAAGAAAGACGTGGACATCTTGGATGACATGGGGGCGAGTAAATTATCAGCAATATTTTTTTTTAAATGAACTAATCCTTTAACATTTTTTCAGAACCTCTAGTAAATCATGTTATTTTGTTTAGTTGTCAATTCAGAATTGTGGGAGAATAGTGATCTAGAAAGTCCTGTAAATGAGTCGTGCAGCTGTAAATGAGATGTCGCTGATGTGACGCACCCAAAATTTGACGAGGAAGAACGCATTTTGAGGGCCCTTCTCGTACAACTCCTTGAGTCCTCCCTTCTTCTCAGGGAATTTGTCGTAGATCTGTCGGATGTCCACCGCCTCCAGCAGAGGGTCGCTGTAGGACGGGTTGGTCTGGCCAATGTGAACAAACAGGTGTTTGCTGTACTGTAAATAGACATGCAAAATATATTGTTATTAATTTAAATATCCCCAACTGAGCAAGCCAAAGGCAACAGTGGCAAGGAACCAAAAAACTCCATCAGGTGACCCAAAGGTGTCCTAAAACTCCATCAGGTGACCCAATGCTGTCCAAAAACTCCATCAGGTGACCCAATGCTGTCCAAAAACTCCATCAGGTGACCCAATGGTGTCCTAAAACTCCATCAGGTGACCCAAAGGTATCCTGAAACTCCATCAGGTGACCCAATGGTGTCCTAAAACTCCATCAGGTGACCCAATGCTGTCCAAAAACTCCATCAGGTGACCCAATGGTGTCCTAAAACTCCATCAGGTGACCCAAAGGTATCCTGAAACTCCATCAGGTGACCCAATGGTGTCCTAAAACTCCATCAGGTGACCCAATGCTGTCCAAAAACTCCATCAGGTGACCCAATGGTGTCCTAAAACTCCATCAGGTGACCCAATGGTATCCTGAAACTTCATCAGGTGACCCAATGCTGTCCAAAAACTCCATCAGGTGACCTAATGGTTTCCTAAAACTCCATCAAGTGACCCAATGGTGTCCTAAAACTCCATCAGGTGACCCAATGGTGTCCTAAATCTCTATCAGGTGACCCAATGGTGTCCTAAAACTCTATCAGGTGACCTAATGGTGTCCTAAAACTCCATCAGGTGACCCAATGGTGTCCTAAATCTCCATCAGGTGACCCAATGGAGTCCTAAATCTCCATCAGGTGACCCAATGGTGTCCTAAATCTCCATCAGGTGACCCAATGGAGTCCTAAATCTCCATCAGGTGACCCAATGGTGTCCTAAATCTCCATCAGGTGACCCAATGGTGACCTAAATCTCCATCAGGTGACCCAATGCTGTCCTCAAACTCCATCAGGTGACCCAATGGTGTCCTAAAACTCCATCAGGTGACCCAATGGTGTCCTAAATCTCCATCAGGTGACCCAATAATATCCTAAATCTCCATCAGGTGACCCAATGGTGTCCTAAAACTCCATCAGGTGACCCAATGGTGTCCTAAAACTCCATCAGGTGACCCAATGGTGTCCTAAATCTCCATCAGGTGACCCAATGCTGTCCTCAAACTCCATCAGGTGACCCAATGGTGTCCTAAAACTCCATCAGGTGACCCAATGGTGTCCTAAAACTCCATCAGGTGACCCAATGGTGTCCTAAAACTCCATCAGGTGACCCAATGGTGTCCTAAAACTCCATCAAGTGACCCAATGGTGTCCTAAAACTCCATCAAGTGACCCAATGGTGTCCTAAAACTCCATCAGGTGACCCAATGGTGTCATAAAACTCCATCAAGTGACCCAATGGTGTCCTAAAACTCCATCAGGTGACCCAATGGTGTCCTAAATCTCCATCAGGTGACCCAATGGTGTCCTAAAACTCCATCAGGTGACCCAATGGTGTCCTAAATCTCCATCAGGTGACCCAATGGTGTCATAAAACTCCATCAGGTGACCCAATGGTGTCCTAAAACTCCATCAGGTGACCCAATGGTGTCCTAAAACTCCATCAGGTGACCCAAAGGAGGAAAAAAAAAACCTTGGAAGAACCCAGGCTCAATCGGGGGCCAGTTCTCCTCTGGCGTTTATGAACTAGACGCCGTATTTACAGTAACTGTAAGGTAAAAATGTATATGAATGTCTCTAAACAGACTTTGATAAACGCTGATGGCGTTCACATGCGCATTAAGAATTGATTCTATAGTTATGCGTGTTTGAATATATATGCGCAGGTTTGTAATTCCCTACAAAACCATGCCTGAACAAACTTGTCTTGTCTATAAACTTGATATAGAATAAGCACATTTGTGGAGAGCTCCTCTCTACTCACAGAGTCCTGGTCCTGCGGGACCTCCATGAACGCGGAGTACTCCAGAAGACGCAGTTTTGAGGAGGCGATGGTGCGATCCTGCCACACGGGCACTGCGGTGGCCACCGGCGGGGGAGGAGGGGCCAGAGGCTCGTATGCTGCACAAACACAAGGGGGCGCCAGTGAGACTCAACCACAGGCATAAACCGAGAAGAAATGGTGGCAGGCGTGAGCTGTGCTCGAAATGGACTACTAGTGTACTAGTACACTTACATGATAAGGGTTGAACAGGTCCTGATAGGTTTGGGTAAGGAGTTTGTGCAAATGGCTTGATGCTGAAAAAGTGTTCAGGATTTGTTAGAATCAAATTCAAGTTATTATTTAAAGTTGTGCACTTGGGTTAAACATTCTCTTATTAGGGTTCCCACACTTTTTGGCCATCTCCAATCATTTTTGACTACTTTTGATTGATTGATTGATTGATTGATAGATAGATAGATAGATAGATAGATAGATAGATAGATAGATAGATAGATAGATAGATAGATAGATAGATAGATAGATAGATAGATAGATAGATAGATAATTTGGCCATTTCCAATCATTTTGACTACTTTTGATTAATTGATTCATAGATAGATAGATAGATAGATAGATAGAGGATAGATAGATAGATAGATAGATAGAAAGATAGAGGTTCAAATAAATGTTTTTTTTTCTTTTGAACTTTATCCTATACAAGCAAACACAAAAAGCATAAATCAAAATATATCACAGTTTCCGCAAAATTATTAAGCTGCACAACACTGACTGATTTGTTAATCAGTTCAAGTGAATCAATTGGAAAGAACTGACTCAAAAAAGTGATTCACTCACAAATCGAATATCACAATAGCTTACAAACAAGTTTTATAGACAAAAGCAATATCCATCTGATTAAATCATTCAGAGAAGAGAAGAACTAGAAAATGTCTATTAATTATAGAAATGGTCATGACTTATATAAAAAAAATTCCTGTCCATACATTTATTAAAGGAGTAGGTCACAAAGAATAAAAAGGTTATTTGTTAAACTTAAAGGAGTAGTTCACTTTCAAAAAACTTCTGCTGATAATTTACTCGCCCCCATGTCATCCAAGATGTCCATGTCTTTCTTTCTTCAGTCGAAAAGAAATTAAGGTTTTTGATGAAAACATTCCAGGATTTTCTCCATATAATGGACTTCAATGGGGACCAAACGGTTCAAGGTCCAAAAGACAGTTTCAGTGCAAACTGCAATCTGTTCAAAGGGCTTTAAACGATTCCAGATGATGAATAAGGTAACAAATCTTAAAGATAAAGATTACAAATCTTTTCCTGAGTCAATTCGTTCATTTTGTTCGTTGAATGAACCAAATGTCATGAAAAAAGATTTGTTCATTTTTTTTTTTTTTTTTTTTTTTTTTTTTTTTTTTTATATAGGCTATTTCAATGACTTAGAAGGAATGACTTTTGCAACCACTGTATTGTATTTTGGTGTGCATTTTACAAAGAATTAAAAATTAATGAAAATGAAAGAGCTTTTCCATTACCAGAGTCTATTAAGTTGCAACAGATAGGCACATTAATAACATTTATAACCTTTAAACAGACAAAGCAAACAGCATCCCCCTCCCTCTCTAAAGCACATTGGCAAAGACAGTAAATGCTTTATGTAGACAGAGAAAGCAATCAACAATTTCAGGAGTGAAATTGAAAGCAGATTGTCTTGCAGTGATTGTTACACGGCAGGAGACCATCACAAGCCCGCCAGAATGTCCAAGTCCATAGAAATGTGTCAGAGAACGTCTGCATGATCTTGTTCTCAAGCAGTGATAATCTAATGGACTTTTCAACGCTGATAATGTAGAACCAAACCAACAGCTTAATATTATCCATTATTAGGTCCTTTCTCTGCGTGCATTTCCAATTCTCTTCGGTAGAAATGCATGACAGACCTTCTGCACTCAGTCACATTTCCGGATGAGGCCTTGATCAGCAGGTTGATCATCAAAACTGGCTGTTCCGTGTGCGCGCGTACCAGCCCAAACACGCGCAGATCCCCACGAGCGTCACGGTCGCGCCCAACAGTAAAGCCAGCGCATCTCCTCCGTCAAACGCCTCGGCGGTCTGGACAAGCGCCAGGAGGAAAAGCCAGAGCACCATGTGTGTGTGTTGGTCTTTGGGAGCCATGTTGTTGGCTTTGTTCATTTTGATGAACGAGTTCGAACAGGAGAGTCACGAACGTGCATCAGAGAATAGAGCAAGGCGAGCATTTGAGCTTATAAAACTTAAACTTTGTTATTTATTTTTTTTAAATGACCAATCGTTTCGCTTGATAAGACCCTTATTCATCGTCTGGAATCATTTAAAGCCCTTTGAACAGTTTGCAGTTTGCACTGAAAGTGTCATTTGGACCTTGAACCGTTTGGACCCCATTGAAGTCCATTATGGAATGTTTTCATCAAAAACCTTAATTTCTTTTCGACTGAAGAAAGAAAGACATGGATATCTTGGATGACATGGGGGCGAGTAAATTATCAACAAAAGTTTTTTTTTAAGTGAACTACTCCTTTAATTCGGTATATAGCAGTTTAATACATAGGATAATGAACAAAAAGCCAGGCATTATCACCAAGACCCTAAAGGCTCCTGATCACCCTGCCTGGGGGTTAGTTTGTGATTATGACTAGCTGACTGTATATTATCACTTGCTAATCACTTTCCAACTTTTCAAGTCCTACAAAAAACAAATTCCCTGATATCTTCTTGTTGTCCATGACTGTGGGAACCCTTTCTTGCACTGAAATGTTTTTGGTTGGTATACAAAGTGGTATATTTCACAACTGTTCGATTCGGCCGTATCAGCTAAGCGTAAGTTCACCTACTTCAGTGACAAAAGTCATGTGCGCTAGCTCACGTCTGATCAAGAGATCTCAACAGAGGCTTGAGACCACAGTATGTTGCCAATGAAAAAGGCTGGGAATCAAAATTTGGGAAAGGATCTACAGTAAAATCAAACCAAGTTTCATCAGTTGTGAGCTTGAAATTGAATCCGAATGTGATGAGAAAGAGTAGCCCTCATAAAATAACACGGCTGGACCATGTGGTAATACAGTATGTCGGGCAGGACAATTCAAAGTATGGGAACATTTCGAGATGGTAAAGAATGACCACAAAAAATGATATGTGAACTTAAACATGATCTATCATTTAAAACTTGTAAATGGTAACCTATTTCCATTACTTTCTCAGTTGATCGTTCAATAACATTGTACTTAAAAATGAAATATTTTCAGAGCTAAGCACAACTAGAACCATTGGTAACACTTTATTAATTAACTACATTAGTTTATGATGAACTGCACTTCTACAGCATTTATTAATCTGCCGTTAATTTAAAGATTTATTATTAGATTATTAAACTCAAGGGTTGCGGTTAATGCACTGTAAACATGAACAAACAATGAATGACTGTATTTTTATTAACTAACAAATATCAACAAATACAGTAACATATGTTTTGCAAATGGTTAGTTAATTATGCTTCCATAATAATGATTTTGTTAATTTCTATAGTTTTTCCAAGCACATGAAGTTCCCTAATATATTGATTTTGGACAAGGACAACTTAATGATTGAGTGTCAATGTCAAACCCATGTTTTTGGCAAATAAAACAAAAAACTAGTTTGGCAACCAAGACCAAAGCTATTAAAAATAGTTTTCAGTAATAGAAATTGAACGCTGAAATAAAAAAAAATATTAGACAAAAATCTTACAAATCTTGCCTTAGCAGTGAACTGAAACTTTTTTTATAAAACACAAAAATTAATAACAAAAGCATCTACAATTACTAAAAATAAAGGATAAATTCTATGTCTCAAACTCACGAGTCACTATTTTGACTTCAGTCAGGACTTAAAGGAGTAGTTCACCTTTAAAAAACTTTTGCTGATAATTTACTCGACCCCGTGTCATCCAAGATGTCCATGTCTTTCTTTCTTCAGTGGAAAAGAAATTAAGGTTTTTGATGAAAACATTCCAAAAACATTCCATAGACTTCAATGGGGTCCAAACGGTTCAAGGTCCAAATGAACTGTTCAAAGGGCTTTAACGACACCAGACGATGAAAAAGGGTCTTATCTAGGACCTTTCGAGTCATGACTCGAAAAAAGAGTCGTTCATTTTGATGAACGAGTTCGAACAGGAGAGTCACGAACGCACATCACAGAACAGAGCAAGGCGAGCATTTGTGCTTAGAAAACTTAAACTTTTTTATTTATTTTTTTTAATGACCGCTCATTTCGCTTGATAAGACCCTTATTCATCTTCTGGTGTCGTTTAAAGCCCTTTGAAGCTGCACTGAAACTCTCATTTGGACCTTGAACCGTTTGGACCCCATTGAAGTCCATTATATGGAGAAAAATCCTGTAATGTTTTCATCAAAAACCTTAATTTCTTTTCGACTGAAGAAAGAATGGGGGTGAGTAAATTATCAGCAAATGTTTTTTTAAAAAGTGAACTACTCCTTTAAGTTGGAATCTGAATTATAATCGTTAAACCCTTTACGATTGCCATCTCTAGCAGTGAGCTAAATATCAGGTCAAGCTCTGTGAGGGAACTTACGCGTAGCTGGTGCGACCAAGCCCAGGACTTCTTCCTGGGTTGTGCTTAAGAACCAGCCTGATGCATAAAAACGTGATCCATTAAATATGCCAGATACACAAACACACCGAGAAACACAGAGTATGAGTTCATGAGTTACTCACTCCTGAGAGGGTCCAGGTTGACCCGGGATGGGGGTCGGCCAGAACTGGAAAACAGAACAACGAAAACAATCAAATGACTTGATGATTTGTTGGAATGGTTTAATCTGGAAGTAAGCTTCTGAAGCGTACTCGTGCAGACGGCGGGTACGGGGACTGTGGGAGAGGAGGAAGAGAGGTCTTGATCAGACTCGGAGACACGATCTGAGCGGAGGAGAGTGCCGCCATGTTCTGGAGAGCCTTGTCTTTGGACGCTTGATCCTGAGGAGACGAAGACCCAGGTGAGCAGAATAATCCAGGAGAAATTCATGGCAAAAATAACGGTTAATTGTAATGCAAAGCAGCCTGCTGATTTATGACAAAGCCAGGAAGAAGCATTGAAAAAAGGGGAAATAATAGGAAATCAGAGAGCACTAAATGATTTGCATTTCCAAGGAAATGTGTTAAAGTTTCGGGTAAGTTGACGTTTTAACCCTAAAACCGTATTCTGGACAAATGTGGGCAAAATAATTTTGATTTATTTTTTTAAAAATACTTCCCTTGATCTGAGCGGTACAAGACTTGGCTACTTTTCCTAAGTTTCCCTTCTGAACACACACAATTTTTTTTGACACATTTCTACAATGTTAAGTGGGTGAAAAAAACTCCTTAATCTTGTATTTGGGTCAAAAATGGGCACCCATAGAAATAAAATGAATGGGAAAAACTGTATTCTAAAATAAGGCAAAATAAGACAAGTCACTTCATCTTTAGGTTTGAGCTCTAAGAACTTATTGGAATGATATTTTAATGTAGTTAAAAAAATGTAAAAAATAAAACATAAAAATAAGCATAATTTACATAGAAAATATGGTATTTTTTGAAGTAAATAAATTCAAAAGTACCCCCAAAATAATAAAAAAACACCATAAATGGATAGACAAAACTTTATCAAAGACAGTGATATAACATTTATAATAAATAAAAATTAGGATCACACCTGAGTCCTCTGTGCCCACATTTGTCCACAATTACAGGATTAAGGGCTATAAAGTGAATACGGTTCGAGGGCTACGGCTTCACATGTTAGGGATGTCAAATTAAAATCTTTGTCGAATTTAAAATTAAAATCCACACTCGAATGCAAAAACGGTGCATTCTTCATTCAAAACACTGCATAAATAGAGAAGTTCAATGTGGATCTTGGTTACATCAAAACCAAAACCAAACCGCATTTCCTGTGCCGCTTTTCCATTGTTTTCTATGTAAACAAACGCTCGACGACGCAAGCGCAACAGAGATGGCACGTAAAGTTATAAGAAGCTCAACTTTTGGGTTTTTCCCATTCCACTGCATCTCAAAAAAGCACTCTGCGCTTTGTATCTTTGTATTAAACTAAGAATAAATACAAGATGTTTAGTTTATAATTTATGCAATTCACAGAATTATATTTGCAACGGTATGCACTTTTTTTGTACAGACAGTCATGCTTTCATTTCATTGCTTTGAATAAACAATTTAATGCGATGCATTCATATTCTGCTCTTTGTGGCCTCAGGAGGCATCTGAAATTGAATATAATTTGAATATTAGTAATATTTAAGTATAAAATTCGAATTTAGTTTTTAAGTCATTTTGACAGCCTTGTTTTCTTTCAGCTGTACACGAAAATCAACACGTATCCTTGCATCTCTACAGCATAAAGGCAGATTTAGATGGTTAAATGGATGCAAGAAATAGACCAAAAAAAAATACAGTATGCAAACAGATGTCAGAAAGAAGACCAATCACAAGTCAGTATGCAAATATGATGTTGGTAACATTTTTAGAACGCTGAACATTCTAACAATGCAAGTCCTACAAAAAAGTAGGTCTATAGAATCTAAAGAAATTAAAATTATACAGCATATGTAAGACTGAAACTATCGTTAAGCTGTTCAGGTTGAATTAAGCCCAAAAGCTTAATAGTAGAGGTCGACTGATTCATCGCTTTAGCCGATTAATCGGCACCGATAGTTGATGGGTGGAACTATCGTTATCGGCAAAAATCGTTTTTTTCTGGGTTGCGTCCGTTGCTGGAGCGGCTGAGAAGTGTGCGTGGTCATTACACAGCACGTGAGCGCATTTGCATTATTTTATATCCTAACTAACATAAATGATAAAGGTACAAATGTATTGCTAATATTAATACATGCGGTAAAAACGTATATATTGCATAATGCATATAGTTCACGAAAGCTAGCTAATACATCCTTGTTTACAAATGGGACATGCAATGTGTTACCTATGAAATATAGGCATGTTTCTAGGTTACAGCTAACGAAACCTGTAATTTTTTAACGTTTAAATTATTTTCTGTAAAAAGATTTAATATATTCATATTTATTTATTTATTTAAGCAAATTTCAGTTCAGCACTGTTTTATTGTGAGTATTATGTTTGTTTTTAATCCAGAATTTAATCCAAAAAAAATATCGGTTGAATTATCGGCATGCACAGTCAAACCTAAATAGTGGGGATGCACGGCCGATACATGTTCATTTTTAATGTTATCGTTATCGGCCTGGTAAGAAAATGTGGCCGATATATTAAAGCAGATAAATAATTTATTATCCCCTTCAGCTGAGACACTTGTTGAGCACTGTTTATGTTTTTGAATTTCTTGAAATATGATTAAAATCTCTTCAAAAAATTAAAACACGGTTCGGTACAACATGCGCAGTGCAAATCTGTCATATCGGCTATACAACACTATAGCTTGGACATGGATTTAATTGTGAGACTTTTGTTTTTGTAATCAGGCTCTCAAAATTAGATAAAAATTTGGATTTAAGTTAAGTTTATCGGCCGATATATCGGTGATCGGCTTTCAAATATAAAGAATTATCGGTTATCGGTATCGGCCAAAATGTTCATATCGGTGCATCCATACTAAATATCGGTAAAATCCACTATCGGTCGACCTCTACTTAATAGTTCAGGCAGTGGTTTAGAACAAACCCGAAACATAATGTTTAAACTTAAAAAACATCAATTCAGTGCTGCCCTGCCAACACTATAATGATGTGGCTATTTCGGATATTGAACATGCAGTTTTTCCTATAAGCCTCTCAAAATCATGTGTAACTAGCATCTGTGGTTTTCAATTTTAATGAGAGGAAAAAAGCAAAAGCAACACAGATATCTGACAGATATCAATTATAGCACAGCCAACAAAGCAACAGCAACAGCCAGGGATATGTCAATGTTTTTGAAACAGTCATTCACCGAATACAAGCTCCTTCGTCAAGGATATTAAATTATTCCCGATCAAAAACAAGCCTCACAAATGAAATGACGATATAGCCTACGTTTGGCACGAAATCCCAGTTTTCCAAAGGCTGAGCTTGGAGCATGTCACAATTAATGAATGTGGATAATAAAAAGACTCGGAAGCATGACCACAATAAGTGGTGGCTCACAATTAGGTTTCTTGAATTTATAAAGCCTGCGGTACATCATAAAACGGAGGGACGACGAGGAAACTTCAGAGAGCAAAAAGGCCAGGCACATTATTTACACAAGAATTATGAGCAATCGATGCACACCGCAGGCCCAGAGGAGAGGACTTTATAATGGCAGTGCTGGATGTAAGCTGAACCTGAGCAGGACAGCCAAGCAAAGCGAAGCAAAAATCAAGTCAACAATAATTCGCACAATTCAAATCCACACTTACCAAGTTCATGGCCTGAATCAAAAGAAAGAAAGACCATTAGTACAATATTTTGAGAGCAATTTCACTAAACCTATTGTTTCTGACAGAAAATAAAATCTTTGGATGGACGCTAAACACTAGTCACAGTCAATTCTATTCTAGATTTTCAGAGACTATTGCACTTAAAATGGTTTGTTACAATATGTGCCTTGCACAAAAATGAACCACAGACTGCAAGTTCATTTCTTCAATGTTTTCATAATCTACATTATGATGAGCAGTCAGCTTAAAAATATTGTGCATTTCTGAAAAGAATGTGCTTCTGTCTTGTAGTTCATGTACACACTGGCAGGGGGCGCTAAACACAACCATATAAAATGCAACGAGGATAAAACATGAGAAAGTTGTCAAAAATACTGCATGGCTATTAATGCATAGTCTACATATTAATGTTTATAATTCATTATATTTGTGAAAATTATGTTTTTACTATTTAAATTTTACATAAAAAACTCTTTTGTCTGGATCCAAATTTATACACAATTTAAAAATAGTAAGTTCTGTAAAACATTTTTTTTTTTATAGCATTAACAGACCTATTCATTTATATGCCAGGCCAGTTCATTTAAATAAGATTTCATTTAATTTCAACAAATTTAAGTCTCGGTCAGCCTGATCATTATTAAAAAATAATTTCGGTCGAGCGCTTATACGCAGTCTAATCTCAGATTTTATCAGGCCTGTTACGATAACTTGTCACACGACATATGGACATTTAAGGCGAGACACTACAGGTGAATAGGGTAATTTTTTTTATAAATAGCAGATATCACCATGAAACTTTCCCAGTTGATTACCTACATTAAGATGAGGAAAAAATATTTTAAAAGTTTTCTGTAATTTAATGTTTAAATATGCAAATGAGGCATTATCTAATTAAACATGCACTAATTTGCATTCATTTTAAAAAATGAAATCTGAGTATTGGATAAAGCCAGGTTCAAAATTATATTTTTATTGTGTTCGCATATTAGTACAAAGGGATTTATGGATATCTACTTTTGTTATCCTGTAAATCAGAATATACCGTCAGTAGCTTAAAAAAAATTATTTTCGCCATGTTTTTTTTGGAATAAAATGCTATATAAATCAGGCTAGGAATAATATATTTACAAATCCCTCAGTAAATGTCTTCATAAAATAACTAGGTACAAGACTGGAGAGTTTCGTGTATATCGGTGCGACTGAAGTGGAGATTTCGAGAGAAAAGTCATTTTGAGAAAACTGGCTCTAAAGATCAATGAGATCGCGCATTTAGAGTTAAATCCCCCTTTTACTTTCACGATTGGTTGCTGATAAAAAGGAAATGACCATATTTGGATCCGACAGCGTTGTACATGAGAAAGAGAGCTTTCTAACGCTGTGTGTGATGATGATGATTTATAACGACAACTTTTGAAGAATTTATGAGAAATCTACAGACAAAGTGTAGTAAAATAAAGACCTAAATGTGTATTTTGGACTTTTTTCACCACATGTCTGAAAGAAGACATGTTATTGAAGACAAATATCCCAAAATCTCAAAATTGACCAGTGAAAAACAAAAAACAAAAAACTAATTAAAACTAATTAAAAAAAACTATTAATAACACACTGTTAATGAGAAGATGAGCACTGGACTGCTGCGCGTTAGTGGGGAAATATATTTGTTCATTCTAGTATCTAAATATTCTTAAGAATTAAATGTTTGTTTGTCATTTAAAAGTGTTTAGGCCAACTTGCATTATTATGCTGTTATATTAGCAATACGTTTCATTATGACGGGCCTAGATTTTACAGGTGAAAACTGTGTATTGGTGACAGACAAATGGAGTCTGGATGCAAGGAAAGGAAGGTTGAGAAAACAGTGAGCCTCAGGAAAGCCAACGGGCAAAGATCTCAGCCAATCATGCACTTTCAGACTCGATCTATATGACATGCAGAAAAGCACTATTGCTACTGCTTCCGTAGCACTTCTATCTTGGTTTTTTTCACCAATGCAAACACTCGTTCCTCTGGATTTTATTCAGCCGACAGATTCCTGGAACTTACAGCGATCTCTCATTGGTTTGTGCAAAGGCAAACGCCATTAAGCCCCGCCCCACCCGCGGGAAAGCGCATACCTTCAGCTTTGACTGTATCTCGCGAGATTTTCTCCGGGCAAGAACCTGCAAATGGCTAGAAACCTGCAGAACAGAAAAGCCAAAGAGGAAGAAAAGAGAAAAGAGGAGGTAGAAGAGGAGAAAGAGAGAGACGCCGTAACCAAAGAGGGAAACGATGCGCCGCAGCAACCCCAACCTACCTTTATACCTGCTTGATACTCTCGAACTTTCTTCCGTGCTAACACCTGTATGTGACTAGATACCTGAAGGATTTTGAGACAGTTTAACATAAAAACACAACACACTATTTCACCTACAACCGAAAACTGAAGTCATTAAATCACATTATTTGATGTTAGGCAAACAGATATTTAACCCTAAAACCATATTCTGGACAAATGTGGGCAAAATAATTGTGATTTATTTTTTAAAAATACTTCCCTTGATCCCTTGAGCTACTTTTCCTAAGTTTTTTTTACTCAATTCTACAATGTTTAGTGGGTGAAAAAAAACTCCTTAATCTTGTATTTGGGTGAAAAATGGGCACCCATAGAAATGAAATGAAACGAATGGGAAAAACTGTATTCTAAAATAAGCCAAAATAAGACAGCAAAGTCACTTCATCTTTAGGTTTTAGCTCTAAGAACTTATTGGAATGATATTTTAATGTAGTTAAAAAATAAAACATAAAAATAAGTATCTTTTACATGGAAAATATGGTACTTTTTGAAGTAAATAAATTCAAAAATACCCCCAAAATTTAAAAAAACACCATAAATGGATCCACAAAACTTTATCGAAGACAGTGATATAACATTTATAATAAATACAAATTAGGATCACACCTGAGTCCTCTGTGCCCACATTTGTCCACAATTACAGGATTAAGGGCTATAAAGTGAATACGGTTTGAGGGCTAATGTAATCAGTATTATATATGTATATAAAGTGCATGAACATTAAATACCTGTTTTCGTGTGCGGGTTTTGCCTGTTCTCAGCTTGATGTATCTGGCAATAAGCTCATTGCGACCTGAGGGAGGGGAAAGTTAAAGTTTCAGTGACCAAAAGGTGGCGACAAAAGCAATGAAAGAGGTGCACATATCTCTCAACAACACTTGCAGACTTCATGAGACTGAAAACCACACATCGAAAAGTAATGAAGTAAAGTTTATGCCATTTTATTACCACTGCACTCAGTCATGTCATTTTTAAAACCTTTAAAAAAAGTGACCATTCTGTAATGCATCAAGTAATCAAGATATGCATCATTGGCTATTAAAGTTTCACAGCATCATTATTCAGGTTATAAAAAAAACTACTTAAGACTTGTTTTGAGTTTGCTTAGATTTGATTTACAGTAAGACAAATATAAAAAAAAAATTGCAGTGTGATTATAGCATGCTCAATATTCACCATTTTTGTGTAATATACTATGGTCATTTAAGCAGAAATAAGTATATTTAAGAGTATAATAATGATAAAAACTATCCCCCCTTTAAACGTTTTTAAAGGAACCAATTTAAACCAATTATAAACAAAGGTAACGTGTGCATGTTTTGTAAAGTAACTTGATTGCTGGGTAAAATTGTATGTAAGATTGAGTTTTATGTCTGTATTGTGATATACAGTGGTGTGAATAAGTTTGGACACCCATGCTAAAGTTGCCTAAAAAGAGGAAGAAAAAATCATCTTTTGGATATTGATCTTAATGCCTTAATTAGAAAAATGAGGAAAACTCCAACCTTTAAGGACACAAATTTTCTTTGTGAATGAATAATGTATCATAAATAAATAAATGTTTTTCCTTAAAATACAGGGTGCATAAGTCAGGACACCCCTATGTTAAATTCCCATAGAGTCAGGCAGATTTTTATTTTTAAAAGCCAGTTATTTCATGGATCCAGGATAATATGCATCCTGATAAAGTTCCCTTGGTCTTTGGGATTAAAATATCCCCACATCATCATCACACACCATCCACCACACCGAGAGATTGGCATGGGGTACTTTCCATAAGATCATCTTTTAATGCAAATCAAACCAGCTATTAGGCTAACTGAAGTAAAACCATGCCAATCTCTAGGTGTGGTGGATGGTGTGTGATGATGGGGATATTTTAATCCCAAAGGCCAAGGGAACTTTATCAGGATGCATATTATCCGGGATCCATGAAATAACTGGCTTTTAAAATTAAAATCTGTTTGTCTTTTGATATATCGAAATCATCTTCCATTGCAATTTCCTGTATATCTAAATATGTTTAGATCTTCACAGTGAAAGGTAACATTTCCGAAACCTCGGAAATGTGTAAACATGTGTAAACAATGAGTGACGTAGACGCGTTCCGGCGCTCGCCCGCGCCCTCAGATCACTTAGACGGGGCCGTGATTACAAGAGGTAAAAACGATATAAATACTGCTCGTTTTCTCACACAAACCGCTCGTTTCGTGTCTTAGGCCATCAATGTGTACTTACATTCATGAGTCATTAAATCATGTTTAATTTGGACTTCTCTGTGCATGCTCTTTGAGGTGGTGACCATAGACCTCCATTATATGACTGACAGTAGTGTTATTTTTGGCGGCCTGTTTTAATTTTAGTTTTAGTCTAGTCTTTGTGTCAAGCTGACATTTTAGTTTTTGTTAGTTTTAGTCACCTTCATACTCTTTTTAGTCTAGTCTAGTTTTAGTCGACGAAAACCGATGACATTTTAGTCTAGTTTTAGTCAATGAAAATTGTATTTTAGTCTCTTTTTAGTAGGCAATTCTATTTAACCCAGTCAATGTATAAGAAGCCTACCTAGTAATAGGCTAGCCTATACGAAACCATTTTTTATTTTATTTTAGCCAAACCCATTTCAAACAATATCTTCTTATACTGTAGTTATCTTCTTATATTATTGTTAGCTTATAGACTCAAGAATACATCCAGGAAGACGCTCTGAGTTGAATTTACAACATATTTATTTTACCAACCAAACATGTTAGTAGCCTACACACACATGATGAAATTAAAGTTTTTCCAAATGTCATTTCTTCTTTTTCTCCCAAAGATGAATCCCTTTCTCTCTGTCAGACTTAACTTTGTTTGTTGTCGTTTATGCTAACGCCTGTTTCACACATACTCCATTTGCAGTGCGTATTTTTACAGTTATAACAGTTATAGATTAGCGCTCATACCGCGCGCTCTAGCAGCGTTGGTGCATAACAGCAGAGCAGAGATCTACACACTACCTCAACAACGCGACACAATGGATGTAGGCTAAAATACTCATTTGAAATAAAAAATAGAGAATAAATGTTGTGATTGTGCTAAGCCGTAGATCAGTTGCGCACTGCAAACGCAGCACATGTGAAAGCAATAACGCGCGCTGCTCCTGCATACACACTGCAACACGAACCGCATACACGCTACACACGGAGTGTGTGTGAAACAGCTGTAACTCACGCAACTGCTTCTTCTAAATAATGCCGCGAGTGGGGCTTGAGGATCTGAAGTCGCATGCGTTTGCACAGTGCGATCTAATGCAGCCCCTGAAGTGACACAGGAAACAGAAATGCTGCATACTAATAATGCAAGTAGGCTAAACGAGACAATCTAACGTTAAAAAACATTTCGGCTCGTCTCGTTTTGGTCAACGAAAATGAAGAGACATTTTAGCATAGTTTTTATTTTTGTAAACCACATTTAGTCTCGTTTTTATTCGTCAACGATATTGCATTATACATTTAGTTATAGTCATCGTCACACGACCAGCATTTACGTTGCGTCTCGTCTCGTTTTCGTCACGTGATAAAGGTTCGTTGACGATGATATTTCGTCATCATTTTCGTTGACGAAAGCAACACTAACTGACAGACAAGAACGGTTTGACCTAAAAATATCAAAAATGCGGAAACTAAGACACCTACATCTTGGATGCCCTTGAGGTAAGATAAAACATACCAAACATTAATTTCAAAGTGAAATATCCCCTTTAAGAGAATGCAAATGTTGTTTTTTTTACTCGAGGCGGAAACAGGCTTCCACAGCAGAGAGAGCTGGACTGATCTGAGTTTGGTGTCTGTACACCCTTCCCCAGACACACCCTCTCTCTCCGAGCCTCCGCATTCCTCGCATTCCTCTGCGCCTGTGACATCTGCCCCACACAACTTGATTTGATGAGGGCAACAGCCTGGAGCGTGCGTTCAGAGAGCGAGAGAACGGCCTGAAAAAAAGCGAGGGAGAGAGAGAGAAACAAAGAGCTTTGCTGTCTCGGCCAACAACTGGCAGCTGAAGATCGTCCGACCAAACGGACACCCACACCTGCCACGAACCGTCCCTGCAGGAGGCAAAGAACAACACAGACCCCCCAGAGTCCCATATTCTGCTCCGATTCCCTCGCAATCTTTGCTCTTTGAGTGCGTCTGTGAAAGAAGTTCACCTGATGACTTCTTGGGGTGGTCAAACCTCAAAGCTGGCCACTGGGAGGTTGCTGGATCAATCCCTGGAAGGATTGGGCTGTGATCCACAAAACAAACTACAATATTAAAACCCCTTAAGTGTCACGGGCCCACCGGGGGGCCCAAATCCATTACATTTTTAAAACAGTATTATCCTATACTAAACCTAAACTATATATCATTTGAAAGCTTAGAATCTCTAGTTTTCATATTTGGTGATTGATTTTCAAAATATATTACAGAGGAGCCGTAATTTATCAATTTGCAACAAGAATATTTTCATACTCCAAGGCGTGTTTAGACCTTTATTTTGAAATTGTGACGAACATGAAAAATCATGAAAGAAGGGAAGAAGCCTGTTTGTTTTCATGCCAAGAGTTCAAAAGAAAGCCTCCATTCAATTATTTTATAATTATAATAATTATTATTTCATATGGAAATGGAGGCGCCCTTATATGGGCAGTAATGGAGTCTGGTTGTGCCCTAGTGAAAAAGTTTGGTACTGCGCCCAAAACAAAATCTCACTGAAAGCTCATTTTTTGAGATATCAACCTAAAATTTGAAATACAACTTATTCTGATTTTTTAGCAGTTTTGAAAATATATATTTTATATAAAATATGACTAATTAAATTTTTTATATTGTACATTTTCATAAACTCAAACTTCTATAACTTTTCTTCCGTTTCATATTCTTAATTTATTTCACTTCTACAAAAATCTGCCAAATGTCTTCTTTAAAGCTTCTTCTATATTCCAAAGCATTCCTGAATTACAACAATTTAAGTTCCAAATGTGCATTTTCATCTATATTCAAAAAAGGGGGGGGTGACACTTAAGGGGTTAATATCAAACAATATGTATCAGACTTGCCCTCCCTTCGAATGCCTGAGACGAAGAAGATGTTGAGCAGAGACGACACCTAAAGCCTGGTTCATACGGGACGATTGTAAAATTGTCTGCGACTTTCCAAACCCGAGAGACGCTACACACGGCGATAAAAAAATGACAGAGTGTGGTGCGCTACCACACGGCAAAATCAAAACATCACACACAAACCGATATGAAACCCGAGCATTCCCAGACGGAAAATCTCGCAAAGTCCCTCAAGACAAACAATCATGGCGGACGAAGACGATGCAGTGGCGATAGTTTGTAGTTTAACCAACAAAAAAGAATCTCCGACGTCCACCGGACTTTCTGGTGCGCCATGCCGCGGCTGTTTTGATTTTGTTTCCCGCTGCTTCCTCTGTGCCTCGTCGCCTCGCTTTCTGATTGGCTACACTGCGTGCTCGTTCGTCCAGCATTCTTAACACACCGCAAACGGCAGGAAAATCCCATCTGATTATTTTACGATTCTTCAGTCGAAAAGAAATTAAGGTTTTTGATGAAAACAATCCAGGATTTTTCTCCATATAATGGACTTCAATGGGGTCCAAACGGTTCAAGGTCCAAATGAGAGTTTCAGTGCAGCTTTAAACGACACCAGACGATGAATAAGGGTCTTATCTAACGAAACGAAATAAAAAAATATATATTTTTTTTTTTTACGTTTTATAAGTGAAATGACTCGAAAAAAGATTCGTTCA